TGCGTCCTGGTTTTTCGTTGTCCCCAGCATGGCGTCGGATTTCCTGTTCATTTCCAACACAAAACTGACCCAAAAAGGGGCACAGCACGCAAAAGGGGGTGGGCAAAAAAAGTGCGCGACACGGGAATTTTGGTGAGCGTACCAAATGCCACCACGGCAAAGCTTTGCTCCTCCGTGACTGCCTTTGAAAACAGCCTGTAGAAGGTACCGATTACCCTCATGTCCACTAACATGGAACCTGACCCAGGTGTCCTGGACGACAAGTTTCCGTTACAATGGACCCTCTGGTGGGGGCAGGGGGAAACATGGAAGGGTCAGGGGATGCATGGTATGTCAGGAACCCAGGGTCAGGTTGCGTGAAGAGTACCCACAAAGGGCACCTGCTCCAAAAAAAGCACGTGCACCCAGTGTCGTCCACAACTCGCTCCGAGCAATCGACGCTCCGAGCAATCGATGTGGGCTGAGAATCCAAACTCCAAGGAGTTGATCCAAGCCGCGAAAAACAGCTTCCAAACACGTTTGGTGAGCGGACGTGGGTGATATTTTGTGAGTGGTTTGAGTGGTTACAGTTGGTAGGCCGTAGGCCCAATTTATGCGAATTCCCAAAAAAACAACAGGCTGACAATGACAATAATGTCACCGTATCAAGATCTCGCCACTTTTACGACTGAGCCAGTTGCTGAATCCAAGGTTCCGAAACGTCAGGGCGTTGTATACTTCTGGAAACGGAATGTGACTGAAGATGTGTCACCATGTGAGGCCTTTCAACAAGCACCTAACGGGCAGCCTGAAAAGACGGCGGCTTCTTAATGCTTCCAACCCAAATAATCAAACTGCTTCGGTGTTGGGCTAACTTAGTAATGTTGTTGGTAACATAGGTTTTTGGCCCACTTATAGGTCCCCTAATTAAGTGGAGTTCAGTTCACCCTGTCAATAGTGGGGTGGCTAACCACTTAATAACTTGGCCCTCAAACTACCCCCCCCCAAAAAAAAAGGTGAGTGACCCTCCTTGCTTCAGGGCTGTGATACCGCCCAAGAAAAAGTGTTTCACTTGGTCCAAATGAAACCGCGGTGTCATTTAGTGAGGCCAAATCGAGGCTTCGGCGGGGCATGATCGTGGCCTTGTGCACTGGATCCTGGAACGGGAGCCGAAGGGGCTGGGACCCGTTGGGCGTTTGGCTAGGTGACGCATGAGCCACAGTCAGAATGCGGTAGAACCACAACGCGTGGCCCATGGCAACAGAATGGTAGAACCAAAGTCTGGGAGAAGTGGTTGGATGCCATATGAGCCGCAGTCGGAATTCCCGTAGAGGACATGGGGAAATGAGTGCGACTCCTGGTTGTTGGTGGAACAAACAGTGAAGCCTCCCATGTCCCTCCCAAGTCAAGTACAAACTACTGATGTGTTGCCCAACACAGCCCACCTTCTTACTGCACTAAGGCAACCCCAACCAAAGCCCGACCACACAAAGCCCTGCCAGCCCTGTTCCATCTCAAAACAGGTTGGGGTCTCAAATTAGCACTGTGACAAACCAGACGGACAGTGGGTCCAAGGTACTGGGCAATGCCGACCAACCGATCAACCAGCTGACCGAGCGAGCGACAAACTGAGTGGGGATACACTCACGCTGCGATCCTTGATACACATGAGTGTTTCTCAACATTAGGGATCCAGGTGTGGCCGTCCTCAAAGGTGTGTCTTTCCAAAAAGTCTGGGGCCGACCGCGGCCTTAAAGGGGAGAGAAATCAACCAGCGCGTGCATTGGCCATTGACAAGACGCTGATAATGTAGCTCCAGGCCCGTTGGGCGCAGCTCAGTTCATTGAAAAACCAAGCGTTGCACATTGGACGCCAATTTAGATAGACTTCGGGACACTTACAAACCATTATGTGTCAAAGCCAGGCACTCTTCCACATGCTTGGTGTCAAGTTGAACACCGTCCCAAGGGGGTCCGCAACCAAAAGCTGATGTAACAATGACTAAAAGGACGCCTGTTCTCCGATCCTTCACAGTTCTGCCTCTGATGATCCATGCTGACCTATGAATTTCAAGTGAGTACAAAAAGTGCGGCGGATTTACATGGGAAGGTTCTGTCCACCAACAACTCCTGGGCAAATTCCTATAGCTGTTCAAGGGGAACCCTGCATGGGATCTTCATCAGCTCCTTTTAGCTCCGGGTGAGCTCCGTTTCATCATTTGCCCAGAATCTATGGAGAGCGAGCAACAAAGCAGCTCAAAGACACGGGGCGGGGGGGGAAGGGTGCTCTGCTGGGTGTTCCAACCAATTGTCGGGGGTATCCAACCATTCGAGGGATGAAACTCAGCAGCCCCCAAGCCTGCCAAATGGGCTCTTAGAACCCTTCAGAGAGGAGGGTTCTTAGAAGGGTTCTTAGCATAGGTGTCCTTTTGGAAAATGGATGGCTCTGGTGAATAGAAAGAAACCAACCTAAACCAGTGCCATCTATTTCTACCCAAAATAATCCAAAAAGGACACCTATGGTTCTTAGAAGCGGCTGATGGGCCGGGGCTGAAGAATTTCTCCCTGCCCTTCGAAGTGAAAGATCGCTCCAAATCCAAATTGGCATCGCTGAGGCGCGGGCTGCCCCCGAGTTCCCGATGGACACTAAGGTGTGCCCGCCCTCGTGGTACCTCCGCACAGGAAAAGAAAAAAAAACTGGCGCACTCACGGCGGGGTTGCAAGAAGGCGCTCCCAAAATGAGATCTGCTTGATGGGCACCAAGGAAAACAGTACCACCTGCATTGCGGTTGGGTGTTGAAAGTGCAATGGACGACACCCGAATGACCTGCTTCTCGTTTCCAGAAATCCAAACGCGACACTTGGATGAACTGTGCCTTGCCTCAGTGCTCCTGTAGGACATCCTGAACAAAAACTCAAGGCTTGGCCTCGGCATGTACGGGGACCCACCGAAATGGGGGGTTCTTGCGGGTGGGTGCTCTGTTCAGCTTGGTTGAAAGGGAAACCAAGAGGACAAAGGGAAACTAAGAGAAGACACATACAGGTTCCCACCATCTTAGACAACCGGTTGAGCCAGTCACGCCAAGCAGAAAAGCGTAGAGTAGGAGGCAGGAGGAAAGGAGGAGGGATCCTTTCCTGCCTTCTTCGGGTGGGAGTTTGTTTGGGCTTCCGTTCAAACTGGCCTAGAAGATAAGCTTTGCTCTGATTGGTGATTTGGAGACAGCTGGTTTGGAGGTTAGGAGGCTTCTCATTTACCCTCTGCAAAACCCAGGGGTTCAAATCCCACCACCAGTGCAAACCAGCAACTGAGGGTTACCTGAAAAGAGGGACCCTCAGAAGGAAAAAAAACGGAGACCTGCCTTCTCATGGGTGGTAACATCACCTTTTGTTCCAATGATGTTTGAGGTTCTCTCTTAAAGGGGTGATGTTTTTTTGCGAACATACGAGGAACCCTGGAAATGGGGAAAGCGAGGGGGACCCAGACATTCGGATGTGAGCCAAAAGGCCACCCTTCGTTGGTAACTGCTTGATTTTCAAGATGGAAATCCTCAAAAGAAAACAACAAGCGCACTACAGGTCGGGGCAATGGCCCGCCACTCAACCAAAAACCAGGGAAGGGCGGGATTGCCGGTCTCCGTTTAAGCTCAGCAAGTGACTGTGGAGGCAAACCCCTGCAAACCACAAGTGAATACCCGACACGATTGCCACCGAAACAGACATTTTTGCTTAGAGCCAGTTATGGAACTAAAGTGGCAGCTGATCTTTTTGGCTGTCGAAGAGCCCAAACCGCGCTTATGTGACATGGGCCCACCCAAAATCGATGTTCTGGATAATATTGTCAGTGACTCGCGTTGTTGCGCACGCAGTCAGCTTCTTCTCCTGCTCGCTCATGGGATTTCTTCTCTCCAATCCTGGCGTGTTTTGATTGTACCCTATTTGTTGAAAAAAATGGCCTTGAGTCTCGATGGTCGCCCATGGTTAGAGAGGTTTGCCCGGAACAGAAGCAAGAGCAAACTGCCGCCAAATCGGCAACGTCTCTCGCTCTGCCTGACAACAGCGCCCAAGATTCGAATGGTTGCATTTTGGGCAAGTTATACTACTGAAACACGGGGACTCTACAAAAAGAGCCTTCTTCATGGGTGACGCCCCCAGAAACGCCACTATAAAATAAAATAAAAATGTCCGGTGTCCAAGCACATCGACTGCACCAGGGCTACGACACTTTGATCCGTTTTGCGAGGACCTGCTCGAAGACAACTCATTTCTCCCAGATTCATATGGTGTGCTGCTTGGAGGAACCTCCATTTCTGGGACTCCCTTTTTGGGTTCCATATTAGTTCGGGGAGTATCATCAAAGCTTGCATCAAGAAGGCTTCGCGCAATCCTGATGTGCAAATCTCCACTTACGCCCGCTTTCCATTTCTGCAATCGGGAGGGTCCCCAAACAGGCCGCGATGTCTTGCCCAAACCAACTGGGCAGAAAAGATCGATCGTATGCGATCTAAACCGGCGCAAGCGTGGGACACTTGGCAGCTTGTGAATTGAAAGACACGCTACCTGAATTCATGGCATCTACGTAAGAGCTACAGAAACCTTTACAACCATCTTGGTAGTACCAAATGTCAATAGAATGTTGGAGTATAGCTGTATAGGACTCATATTATGATGGTTATCTGGTAGTATGCTTATTTCTCTCTGCCAGATGATTGGAGTATGTCCAAGAATTGGGCACCCGAAACCAAGACGGCTGGGGACGGCTTCTGGACGGCTGGTTGATCGTTTGGAGACTGTGCATATTTGGATGTGTCATCATGTTTTCCTTTCAAACAGCATCACAAGTGGGGTCGATTCGTGATACCCTTTTTGGAGTTGTCTGCATCGGGGCGCCACATGCGGGTTCTGACGTGGACATTCGGACAAGAGCCAAAGGAAAACTTGCGGGGGTAGCAGTGTTGACACAGCCCCAGCAAGCTGAGATCAAAGGAAGTGACTCACTTGAATCAAACCGATGCACGGGTAAACCTAGCGGCTGAGGGCCTGTACTCAGAGACGGCCCCAGCCAAACTCAGCCAACCTGCCTCCCAAAAAAGTGCACCTTTTTGGGCTTGATCCTTCGATTGGTAGAGGTACCACCCCTCCAACAATCATGGAAACTACCAGCCTGGCGTTGGAAGCCCCCCCCCGCGTCCCCTTCCACGTTTGCGGGAAAGAAGCCTGATAATGATCTTGCAAAACTCACCCTTCAGTCTGTCTTCCCAGCAACGCCCAGGCCTTCTGAACATTATCTCTTTCCTTGGAGCCACCAGTTGCGCCACATCCCGCATCTCGCTGGGCCCCGGGCCCACGACCACGCGGTCGAAGGCCTCTTCGAGGTACTTCGTGGGGATCTGTCCGGTGCGACTTTCGGCGGCGCCCTTGGGAGTGGTGGGAAAAACCCACGGGAAATACCCACGGCCCGGTTCTTGGGGTTTTGTTTTTCCCACCCTTGGGGAAAATTTTGGAAGGGAAGCCAAGGGCCAACCACCCATGCCCATTTTGGGGGGTGTTCGACACATACCTTCAAGGCCCTGCCCCTTCAGAAGGCCCCCAAGACTTGTTTTCAATGTGGGAAACCGCACACCAAATCTGAGCTGCTGAATTCGGCCCAGTTCTCTCTGTTGGGGGCAGGCTATCCCGAAAAAGCAGACATGCCGGCGACGGAAAGCCACTCCCCCAAAGCCAGGTTCCGAAGGACCTTGTTGTTTTGGTCTGCCCCTTACCTACAAAACCAGGCACCTCGCACGTGGGGTTGTGTCAAATCATCTCTGGAACCCTGAACACTTACCCACGGAAAACATGACTTTGCCTAACGTGTTGTAACCAGGTGTGAATCCGGGTTCCCCAACTGGGTGGCTTCCGATTGGTTTCAATTTACGGCTCTAAGAGGCTACCCTCAACTGAGAAACCCACATATTGTCCACTGGAGTCGCTTGCAAAGGACCTGAAAGTCTGAGGTACACCCTGTGAGCCCACGACGTATTTCTCGAATGCTCAGCTCGTGAGCAAGCACACAGCGGATTTAACTACGAGGGTTTGGTCCTCCAAGTGGACGGGTACGGTGCGTTTCCCAAAACATGCAGAGTCAAGACACTCTAAATTGCCAGCGTTTTGCTCGCTCCCTTGCAATATTCAGAGCATCCATGGTGTCTCTGGAAGGTTGGACCCTTTTGGACCTCGGAGCAACTGCATTAGATCTGCACAACTCAGGCTTTGTTTTGGATGCCCCACCAGCGGATTTCTTCTTGTCGAATGCTAAACGCGTGCCAAAATATCGAAACAATGAATCCAAAGTTGGGGGCATCTGATCGGCATAGGTTACGTCCTCTAAAACCACCAGTTCATGTCCGGCTTCCAAGGTACTCCTCTTGGCCATGCGTGGCACGGCATTTGGGTATGATCTCTGGGATCCGCTGGACATTGACTTGCCAAGCATTTCAGAACATCAGTGAGGCTCATGAAAACCTACTGTGGGTTTCGTCCCTTTGAACCTATGTCGAAACCATGGTTTACTGGCGAGAACAGGGGAATCATCAGAAGCTCGGGTATGTGAACGGTGGTGCGAACTGGACCCCACCCTCCACGTCCCCCGTCCAACAGGCCAGGCCCACGCAAGGCAGGTCATCGGCCGACGAGCGCACCGCCGCGATGTTCAGGATGTTTGCCAAGTCAGCACCTGGCTCCGGTTTTCGGGATGTTCACTCATGGAACCCACCAAAAACATGGCCCCTGTAAAAAAAATTAAAAAAAATGGTCCAAATCCCTTCAAAAAAAACATGGTCCAAATCAGTATCCCACCAGTCAGGTTCCAGTTTAGGTACTCGCCTGCCAAGTTGGCATTGCCCAGCCACGATTCGGACGTGTTCCGGCCATGTTTTCCGAAACTCAGGGGAGGTCGAGGGTTTGAACTTACCGAACCTTTAAGAATGGCATGCCACTGGTTCATCCACTCAAAAAGGGCTCCATGTTTTTCTGCCAAGAAAACATATTATCTTCAAAAAGGAAGCGTGGCGAACTGTCAATCCTGTACTTTAAGATCGACGTATGATCTGGGCAAGGATGTACTTTACCACACGTTCACCCGGACCCCAAAGAACGCCAACAATTTGTAGAGCTCGTTCTCCTGCTCTGGGGACACCCAGATCCCGCTCCTTGTCACGAATTTCCCCTGGCAAACCCCCTCCCCAAGCTCATCTTAGGGGCTGATGCTTGCCTTCGGCGTGTTTTTGCGGAATGGGGCCCAAAAAAGGTAGTCCTGGAACCACCCCGGTTTCAGGGGGACCCAGCGTCTGACACCTAGTTTTTCTCCGACCAGTGTGGTGCACTATGGGGTTCGCGCGCCCGGCAAAGGGGCGGGGCACTTTTCAGCTGCGCAGGCTCGCGCACAAAGTTCTCTTGTGAGATGGTCAAGTGCATTTCGACCGCGCAGGCTCGCAAAAAGTGCCTGGGAAGAATTTGGTGTCTATCGAGGGCGTGCTCACGCTGTGGCGCCGTGCGAAATCGAAAACGGTTGATTGAGCCCTTTGCGGACTGTGTGCGTGTGTGTGTGTGCTGGATCGCTCTCTCTGTGGCACGGTGCGATTTTTTAGAGTCGAAGTAAACCTTCTGCGGACTTTAGGTGCGTTGAATCGCTGTGGCTGTGACGAGGCGCGTATGTTGAGCATCGAAAGAGAACCCGATGCTGGGTCGGATCGCTCTCGCTGTGCGAACTTGGAACATCGAAACTGAACCGGGAAGGTTGGGTGCTCTCTCTGTGGCGTGGTGCGCATTTTGAACATCACAAGGCGCACATCGAAAGAGAACCCTCTGCGGACTTTGGGCGGGTTGGAGGGCTCTCGCGCGGCAAGGTGCGGTGTGCGTGAGTCGGGTCGGGCTCGGTGTGTGTGTGTGTGTATGTGGAACATCGCAAGTGAACTCTCCGCGGGCCCTGGAGGGGTCGGATCACTGCGGCTGTGGCGTGGTGCAAATTACAAACACTGTAAAGATGCTCTTGCAAGAGTTCCTGTAGATCCTGGACAGAAAGCGCCAATCTTAAAAGGCACTTTTTGCCGAGAGACCCAATCCACAGGTCCCGCACGTAGACCTTGCCAAGACACCCTATCAAGGTATCTCGCGCAGAGATCCTGTAAAAATCCTACCAAAGAAAATCTTGCGGTGGTCCTTCACAGAAGCCCTTTGCAGAGCTCGCGCGCGGGACCTGGAAGGATTTCCCTCCAAGCGATCTTGAAACTGTACATAAATGATACCCTACCCAGACATCTTGCACAGAGATCCTGCAAAGATCCTGTCAAGATCCGCCGCTGATCCGCCCGCCCTTGGTCCTTCATAGATGTCCTCCCAAATAGTCTTGCGCAGGACCTGCAAAGATTTCCTTTCCTTCCAAGAGCTCTTGTAGAGGGTGCTCCTACTTGTCGCGGGTCTTCTGGGAAATCCTACGTGTGAATCGTGCCAAGAGATCCTACCAAGACATCATTTGCATACCCTCTTGCGCGGAGATGTCGAGGTCTTGCGCAGGGCCTGCAAAGATTCCCGCGAGAGATCTTGTGGAGGATGCCCCCTGCAGATCTTGGACAGAACCCTTGTGGACGGACTATAAAGAGATCCTACACAGAGATCTTGCGCAGAGATCCTGCAAAGATCCTCCACAAATATCTCGCGCTGGTCCTGCGAGAAATGCTCTTAACAAATCTTGCGCAGAACCTGCCAAGGGTCATGTCGAAACATGTTGTAGGGAATGGCCCCTAGAGATCCTGAAGACAGAGCTTGTAGAAGGTTCTCTCGGAGATCCTGCACGCAGATCTTTCCAACAGACAGATCCTGCAAAGATCCTTCAACGCCAGGAATCTCTACAGACACAAAAGAAGAACTTCTTTCAAGGAAATCTTGCGCGGACCCCCTGTCCACAGGAGATCTTCTATAGGAGCTTCAGAAGAGGGATCTGTTTGAATAGCACGCATCTGCTGTGGCTACTTTCATGTTACCTGCATGGGTTCCTGTCTCACTGTTTGACCACTGTTTGGGTCAATTGCCGGGATTGTTGTTGGTGTCAATCTTGTTTTGGGACAAGCTCGGCATACCACCAAGAGGAATCCTAGAGCACATTGATTTTCCCCTGTAAGGTTTTCTTAAGGTGTCCGCCCTGCATCAAAAACCAGGTAGAATGCCCTGCCCACAAAGGAATTACCTAAAAACAACAACTTCACCCCCAAAGAAATGGGAAAAATCGCATTTCAAGGCCCCCCCCCCCCCCCGCCGCCTGTCATGCCGGCGGTCCGGCGCGCAAGCGTCTTCAGGTTCACCTGGCGCAACGCCGTTCGGTCAGAGCCTGCCCCACGTCCTATGACTTGGTTCGATAGGCAGGGCAGGGAATGACCCCCTGTCAACCATCCCCTATGGTATCCCTGCAGGAAATCGCTAGGTTCATTGCCAAAACTGTGGGTCATTCCCAACTGAGCACTAGCAAGAAGCGGATACTTCCCCCTAAACATATCCATGGTGAATCCCTAATTCTCATGAGAACCACATGAGGGCCATAGTTAGATGGCCACCATCCCATGACAAAGGGGATGACAAAATGCAGGGGGGTACGGCACTTATATAGACATACAGAAAAGTCTGTATACTCCATTTTCCCTTGAGGGTAGCTTTGTTTTAAGGGTAGTACTGGGGCAATCGCAGGTTACAAGCTTGGTTTCTGCAAAGCGGGGAACAACAAATTGCCCTTTCTGAAACAGTGCCTCACAGTCGCTCCTTTTGTGGCCTAACCCCAACAACTGTTAGGTGATTCTGGCCCACATCTACTGAATCTCAAAGCTTAAAATACACAAGGGGCCAAAAGGAGAGACCACGTTCTGTTGTACAACCCAACTTCCATGAATATTGAAACGAGGGTAGTGAAGAACCAAAGTTTCTAAGCGTACCAGTTTCTTCTCGGATCCTTCTCGTCGAAGAATGGCCCCTAAACCGTGCAACGCTGACAATTTCTGAACAAACCAATCGTGGAGAGTTAAAAAAAAAGAAGAATCAACCCTGATAACCACCGCTGTTGCTGTTGCGGGTTCATCCTTCCTAATATGTCTCCTTTAGGCATCACCAAATGGAAATGCAGTTGAGAGACAGGCCTTCAAGGAGGCGTGTAAACCACTCAAACATGTACATATGAGCAACGGACAAAATTAGCCGCCTTTCCCAACAAGGAGGCGGGAAATGGGCGAGGTCGGTCGTAGTTTCTGTGTAATTTTGGTCGTGCCATTTTGGTCGTAATTGCTGAATATTCTCATGTTGATCGTAGCTTTCGCTCACAAAACCTGGCCAAAACGCTTTTAACTCGACTCAACTCAACTCAACTCAACTCAACTTAGGACCAAAACGACTCTCAAACTAGGACCGAAACGAGACACAAACTGCCACCAAAACGACTCTGGGCCCGATTCCGGAAACTAGAACCGAAAAATCGACTCTGAAACTAGGACCGAGCCGACTGTCAAGCCAGGACCAACACGACGCCGCGCCCGGCAGTGGGGGGCTGGGTCCCTTTGGGTGGTGCCCTCCTTGTGCCCTGCGCAGACCAACAGTAGACTGGTGGAATCGACGGCCCCGATCGGTCAAGACCCGTCCGTCATGTCACTCCCCTTGGCTGTCTAAAGCCCCTCAGCAAGTGTTCTAGTTCAAAGGTCGACCTCTTAGGACCCTGGATCAAATGGACCAATAGGAAACAAGAAGGTTCAAAGGTCAAATTTGGCCTGAGCATTTTCACATCTGGTTTTGGAGGCCAGGCTGACATACCCTTAGGCTCATGACCACCAAGTAAAAGGGTCCTTTCACCATAGCACTTGTGAGTCACAATCAAGACCTGGTATGAAATTTCTACCCAAATCCATGAAATAAGAGGGTGGCCACCCCCATTTTATAGTTGGGACACCCTCGAAAAACAGCGGATTCTGATTCTGGCACACATAGGCGGAGGCCAAAGAAATCAGTCGAGTGGCATTCGTGTCCAGCAGCAGCTTGGCAGCATACATCTCAAGGATCTCCTGTACGAAGCGAAAAGATCCTCTAAGTATGTTTGGTCGGTCGGTCGATCGGCTGGTGGGTCGGTCGGTCGGTCGGCGGGTTGGTTGGTTGAAGACCGAATCTACGGCGGTTTACGCAGTGGGCGCCGAACAAAACCAACCCAGCGGTGGTTCCAGGGATTCCCTTTTGACCCCGCCCCCCCGCCCCCAATACTCGCACTTAAGAAAATGGACTCCAGAGAATTGCTACAATCTGAGAAGGCCCCTCCGACTTGAGTTTGGCCAGAAAGTCAAACTTTTCGGGCCACTCAACTGATGAAACCTGCTGAAAGTGTGAAGAGTCTGAACACGTCAGCGCCCGTAGACACACCTGGCTTGGAAGGTCAGAAGGGGTGAAGATCACAAGGCAATGTCTTGAGCTGATGGAAATGTGCACGTACGTACTTGTGTGCATATGGTTGCGCGGTTATGTGTCTATGTGTATGTATATATATATACATGCATATGTATACTGCATATGTGTATGCATGTGCAAATATATATATATATATGTATATATATATATATCTTTAGAAGGTCCTCACAGGAAAACAAACGGATCCCCGTCTGGAAAAAGAAGCGTTGTTCTCTGGACTCCTGCAAGAAGCTGGAGCCACCACATGGTGCCCTCGGAAAACCCAACAAAATCCGAGCCCGGCCCATGTTTATAGGTTCATGGAAGAGAAAACCAGCTGGGCCACAAAAGAATAGGCCCCTGTTTTTCCGCAACTCCTGAAACCCTTTCGGAACTCTAGCCTGAGCCGCTAACTCTGGGACCCTCAGCGCCCGAACCTCCGGAACTCTGGGCAGAGACTTGATAGCTTTCAGCTGGGGAAACATGTCCTACACGCGAGTCTCTAGTTGAAACAGGAAAACGATGCGCTCATGCCTTGGCTCCGGAGCCACCAAAGAAACCCAAAACGGCACTAAGGATTCGCGCATCTGGGTGGTTTATGAAAAGTGGCCAAGCCAAAATTACAAGGCTCCCTATGAAGCGAGCCCTCATCAAGGGGAAATTGGCAGCAAACCAAAACAATTGTGCTCTCTAATGTGCTCCAGATGTAGGGGTATACATCTCTATCTCTGTGTACATTTATATATATATATATATATATATGTATGTATGTATGCATAAATATATAGATATATGATATATATGTACGTGTAAGAGGAAGCTTAGCCACAACTGTGCTTTCTTTAAAGAACATATGCACTGCCTGTGAAAAATGCTAAGAACAAGCTGCAAAACATGCGAAATGCACGTAAACCACCTCGGTCGCGATGCCTGACGAATGGTCTTGGAACAGGTTCGGAACGATCTCGGAGACGGGCCCATTAACACGGTAACTAAGTAACTATGTTTTGCAATCATTAAATAGTAACTAAGTAGCTAGCTAGCTGTCGGAGAAGCAGACTAGCAGCCGGTGTAGCTGGCGAATTTGCTAACCATTCAACTAGCGAACCAGCTCACGAGCGAACTAGCCAGACCAACTAGGTAAATATCTGGCTTCTGGCTGGCTAGCTCTCCTAAATAGCCAGCATGCCAACTGGCTTGTTCTCGCTCCTGCCCGCTACCTGACCAGCTCAACAGCGAAGTAACTAGATAACTAGCTGACTAGGAAACCAGCTAACTGAGCTATCTACTCAACTAGCAAACTGGCTAGCTGGCAGACCAGCTAATAGCTACCTAAGGTTCTCACCAACTAGGTGGTTATCAGGAAGCCAGCGCAAGGTAGCTATTTAACTCTTTCACTAATAAGAAGCTATAGGTTTTATAAGATTAACACTTCCGCCCCCCCCCCCCCCGGCCCCCGCCGGACTCTACTGGCTTATGTAAACTAACCAATCAACACATATTCATATTCATTTAGAGAACAAGCATATCATATTATGTTCATACACCTAGATACATAATACATACGTATAAAATAAGAACATATAAAATGAGTGTACATCCGGGCTACCTATAATTGCCCCTAAACACAATCCCACTTGAAGGAAACTCACTTTAAGCTGGCAAGAAGGCAGACATGCTACAGCTTTTCCGGGCAATATTTTTAGAGCCCTTTTGTTTCCACTGGAATCATACTGTGTGAACGACATCCCGCACGGCCTACGAAACCCTCAAATGAGGATTCCGCTACAAATGCCAACAAACAGTGGGAAACTGGCGCCGCAAACCCCGTCCATCCGTCCCGCATTGAGCTTGAGGCTTCGAACTGAGGCCCCGCACTATGCGCCCCTTGAGGTCGGGGATAGGCACCACGATCTGCCGGTCCAGACGACCAGGCCGCGTCAGCGCCTCCAAAACGAAGTCGGTCGCTTGAGGCGGGGCCTAAAAGCACCAAGGCTTGATCAGAACAAAACGGTCGGTTGTCCCTCGAACAGCTGAGAAGCCCTTAACTTAGACATCCGTGGGGTCAACATTTGCATTTGTCACAATAGGTGGTCGTTCCTGAAAGTGAAGGGTTCCCTCTGAACCTCTTACCCTCCCCCCCAGTAGTCATTGTTCGAAACAATCTTGCAACCTACTGTGGAATCCTAACTTCTGCAACAAGCGGTTGGCCGCTTATCTGCCCTCTAACCCCCCCCCCCTGCGCCTGTTGACAAAACCCCTCGTTCCTCAAAGGCCGCCGACAAGAGATGGACCACGACATTTCCCATCCAATCATTGCACTATTAAGTAAGCTGCAATGGTTGGTCCCGAAAAAAGAAAATATTCGGATGGCTGGAAGGTAGAACGGACTTAAGCATCAAGCAAAATGACTGTTTCCATGTTTAATAGGTGGCTTAAGGGTCCAAAGAAGCGCTCCAAAAACCCTCCAACGCAGTTGATCGCATTTTGCTTTGGGCCCCACACGTCCCTCTCCAAGACATCCCGCCTTATCCAAGGACTCAGGGAAGTTGGTGGCGCATATCACCACCACGCCTATGGCAGGCACGCTTGCGCCTGATCCGCACCCTGAAATTGGCAAGTGCTGGAACCTGCGCCTGACCTTGCGAAAGTGCTGCGCTTGCCACGAAATCTGCGCATGACCGTGCGAAAGTGCTGCACCTTCTCCAAAACCATATGTTTGCAAAAGCGCTGCGCACCTGCCGAGTCTGCACCTGGCCTGCCACGAAATCCCTCAAGGCGCTGCGCCTGCCAAGAAATTTACACCTGACCGTGCAAAAGCGACGCTGCCTGCCACGAAATCTGCGCCTCGCCTTGCGAAAATACCAACGCATGCCTGACCTTTTGAAAGCGCCGCGCCTGTCACGGAAACTGCCCCCACCTGACTTGCAAAAACGCCGGGCCGGTCGCGCAAAACAGATGCTGCCAAAAGCACACGCGTCCGTGCCGGTGGGCCGGCGCCGAACGCGCTCCTAGACTGCTGGCTCTCTCCTAGAGCGCTCGAACGTGCTCCGACCAGGCGTCGCAATCAGGCAACTGTCCACCATCCCAAAGAACCGGAACCCGCAGAGGGCTGCACTGTTCCAACATTTCTATTCCCCCTGCCAGACACGCCTGCATTTGTTCCGCGCGTGCTTACTCCTGTCATCTGTCACAAGGAGCTAGCTTTCAATCAGTCGCCGACCACTTTCCCATGTCCTGTTGCATGGAGAGAGGCGTGGCCAACCGTCCAGGACTTATTTGCTCGGTTGACCTTCGACAACTGGATGTAAGTAGTGAGTAGCCATTTCCTTATGGACCAAAGGGGGAGACAGTGGAACGACGTTACATGTGCCTCTTGTGACTTGGAGTCTTGAGGGTCGTCCTGAAACCACCAGCTGCCAAGGTGGTCAAATGATCATGTTTGTGGCCGTGTCGCAAAAAGGCCACGACACTCGCTTTGCAAAGCAACGAGCGAGAGCCTGCCAAAGCTTCGCCCAAGACTTTAAACCTTAGGCCCGTGGCAACCTGACAAAAAAAAGAATGACCTCGGATCTGAATTGGAGGCCGTTCCCTCCAAAAGTGATGAAGCCCGCCAAAAGGGGACGCATCAACCAGGGGGTTATTCATCCGAGGTTCCCATGAAGCATGTGGTGCGATCGGGACAGCGGTTTGCGGAACTCTTGGACCTGCGAAGAGGGGGAACCCATCGTGAGCGTATGGTTTGCCTATATCTGGTCTGTTTTTGTTTTTTGTGTTTTTTTTTTTTTTTTTTCTGAGGCTCAATACCCGGGTGGTTTTAAGGGAATCGAGACAAACCCATTTCGACTCTTTGCTCATCACTCCAACTTCAATTGGCCTTCCCATTGTCCAGGCCGCCGAGCCGTTGTTGTTTTCGAAGCCGTCCATCTCCACCAGGAGTTGGTTCAGCGTCATCCTGCGAATTCGCATTTCCAACTGCCAGGGAAACCCAAGACATCCGAAGAAGATACTCGGACGTGCTCTCGTGAATGCGCGCGTTACGCAAAGCCTTACCCATAGCGGGCTGATTACCTCGGGAGCAGAACCTGGCATCCAGGTGAGAAAAGTGCGGTCTCTACGAGGGTGCACCACAAATTGCCCTCTGCAGCGCCTCACCGCTGCCTTGGCTCTTGCCAATCCGACAGGGATCCCAACTCTACGTCTCTTGGGGCCAGAGCTGACGCAGGCTACAACCCATGGCCGCCTTTACATAAGCCATTCTCGACTCACTTTGTGTCTCGCAGTGTGCCTATTCTTGAGACTACTTTTCCTTTGGGGGGGCCGGGGGTTGGCTTAAATGAACAAATGGAGGCCGCGCTTTCGGGGGCTTCCCATTTTCAGGTGCAGTTGCAGAATTGCGGTGTGCAATCGAGGCAAAAAGAACGCAGAATCAGCATTTATGTACAAGCAGCTATGCTTACAACTGAAAAACCCGTTCCAGTCGCGCATCAACGGGCCCGAGAGAACTCTCTCCTTTGCTTGCCCGGGAGATCAATTCGCTTTCCACCAGGCCTTAGGGGTCTTATTTTCGGATCCTCGGAACGGTTGCTTTCCGCTCCCCTGCTAAAAGTGACTAACTGTTGGTGGTTTAATGCGGAAAACCCAACTAAGTTGGCAAAAAGTGAGTGAAAGTCCTAACATCCCTTGGCAACATGCTCCAGAGGAATCCCCACGCATCCCCCTCTTTGTCCCTTCGCTCCTCACCGCGGTGTTGTCCCGATTGGAGCGCTTGGACCCCACCGCGTCGATCTCGTCGATGAAGACGATGCAGGGCGCGTGCTTCCGCGCCTGCCAGCTGAGCCCCGCCCGCTTTTTGTAGGTTCCACGTAAAAAGCCCCTCCTTCAAGAGCTTCTTAGCAGCACCATGGGAACCCCAACCCGTCTTTTTGTAGGCTCCGTGTAAAGCCCCCCCTTTAAGAGCGTCCAAACGGACTTCTATCAGGCATGGTGTTACTTATGTTTGTCTTTCTGAGCTTCCAAGGGGATTTCCAATAGCCCCAAGCCACTACTAATGAGAAAATGAGCTGTATTCCCTTTACATAGCAGCTCGATAGCGGCTATACTCGCCAGCTTCTTAGCTATATCTCCGGATAGGGTTGATCCCATCCGCCCCGATCGCACAAACCGATGCGTAGATATATGGGTCCTGGTGACCAAAGGAACCGTTGACCATGTCTACCATGGCATCTTGGTCATCCTTAAAAGGCTCGGAGCGCCCCTGGTGGTTGGACGCAAAGAGGTCAGGTCCGATAGCAAAACCTCCCGAGTTCGGCACATGGACCCGCCATTGATGTCATTGGAATCAAAGGGAGTCCCGCAAGCGATGCAGCTGGAATCAAGGAAGAGCTCCAGAAGGGATGCTGACAAGCTTGGCGTGACCCTGACCTTCAGTGGCCATGGGACAAAAGGGGTACCCTTGCTAAAATGGGTCTAGAAAGAAAGACAGAAAGAAAGAATGCAAGAAAGCAGACAGACAGAAAGAAAGACTGACAGCCAAAAAGAAAGGCGGACAGAAAGAAACACACGAGATAAATTTCGAAACAAACAGAAGAGGCTCAAAATGGCCCCACAGCATGCAACTTATGCAGCGCGTCCCTAAGAGTTTGCTTGAGCTTTCAATTCAATGGCCACCGATTGCTGTTGACCCCTCCACAAAAAGGTTTTTTTGGCGGTCCAGCATAATGCATATGTTTAAGTTTAATTGCATATTGTATTCACGGATTCTAGTTGGACATGCCGAAGTGGCTAGTACATGGGAAAGGGTGCGCCTTAAAATAGAGGACCCCCAAAATGCTGGCCTGGTGTTTGGCTTCCCTTCAAAACCACCCCCAAACCAGCCCGCAAGCCCGCAAGCAACACACACACACACACCAACAAAAATGAACAACAACACAAACCACCGCCCTGACAAAGGACTGCGCATCGCCACACCTGCATTCTTTTCAGTTGGCCCGCCCCCTCCGGGCCTCCTGGAAGAGGTCGCGGATGCGGCGCGCGCCCACGCCCACGAACATCTCCTCGAACTCCGAGCCGGAGGCCTCCGCGCGGCCGAGGGATGGCTCCCCTTGGACTGTCACGAGCGCCACTTGCTCAAAACCCGGTATTAAAAAGACGGGTCGACCTAGAACCAGGTCAAGAACTAAGGCGGAGATCCGCCAGTTATGGTTTGGATTGTCCCGTGCTAAGCTTCATGTGCCCGGGGTTTGAGTGTGGCTCACATGGCTGTGGCTCACAGGCACCAAAATGGGTAACAGTGAAGAGACCCCATCTGCATGTGAGATTTGCCCCAAACAAATTGTAGGGTAAAAATGGACCTCAAAACGGTTGCCATTTGTTTTGTCCAAAAGCTGAAGTAAGAAGTGGATCGCCCAACACAAGGGGGCCTTCAAAAGCTCGTTCTAGCCTCGAATCGGTGAGATTGCTATAGGCGAAGATTTCATGCCCCATCCGCATGGCAACCCACCAGCGTGGCCCTTTCAGGCTCCATGGTATGCGGGCTTCTTGGCGATACAAAAGGCCCTCGGTCTCGGTGACATTGGGGAGAACTTCCGAACGTTTTTCCCAAAACACCTCCTGATCCCTTGGTATTGCAGAAGCTTGACCCTAAAACCCTACTTTTGGACAATGCCCAAAGGACCCGGAAAATCCAGGTGATCAACCTAGAGAAACAAATGAAAAAGCAGGAAACCTTGAAAGGTCCAAAGAACCGCTGTGCATGTTCAGTTGTGGGTTGAGGTTAGGCTGACATACCTTGAACCATCAGGATATCATGTTTGAAACAGCATGCCCACAATGGCCCCGTTAAATGATTCCATGGTGCAATTGCAGGCTCTCTGCTGCAACAAGCACATCCTTCAGGATATCAGCATGCAGAACCGCCATAGCCTCTGCACCGTACTGGCTGGGCACACCTCAACCTGAAGTGACCGCAGGCAGAATGCAGCAGCGTCCAGCTGCAAAGCAGCTGGCCACACTCCGATGAGCTGCACTTGCCCCACTGCAGCCGTCGCGCGGGCGTTTGGCGTTCAGGGCTGTCGGAAATGACCACTTCTGTGATACAACAAAAAGGAGGCTTCCCAAAGACTAACCCTCCCCATTTTGAAAAAAGAGGGGGGGCGTTCCCTTGTATCACAGAAGTGGTTGGAGAAACCCCTTGTGAGCCCACGCGCTCTCCAAATCTCCACCGAAATCGGCGACCTCGGTTTTGGCCGTAGACAGTGCCCACACCCCGAGGCCCGGGGGATGCTTTTGCGCGGCCACTCAGAGGTGCTTGCCGGAGGTGTTGCTGCACCTCATGAGGGTGCCTCGGCCAAAGACTGTGAAAAAGGAGGTCAAAGACAGGCGACTTTGGATTTCTTCGACCTGCTTGTCACAGTTGCCATCTGAACTGCCCGCACCGCCATTCTTTCGTCTGTGACCTCCTTCACAGCGGCACAGCAAGCTGGGGCATAGGATATGTCCGTTGTTGCTGTCAGGCCAGAAGCGCCTGAAAAGTGTTGCGTGCCCAAGATGCCAGCAAGAAGATCATTTAGTCTGGCACGACAGATCCACCTTCACGCGCCCTTGCGGACATCAACGTGCCCATCTTGAGCACGAGAAAGCCAGCATCCACTTTTCTAGATCCAAAGTGCCGCCGCCAAGATCTGTGAGATTGTGTGAGACACTCACAAGAGTTGACCTTCCTTCAGACATAATAATGGGCAAAAATGGGTGTATAGTCATAGTGCATGTAGGTACTGTAGGGTAGAGTTCCATTCTACGCAGCATTCATCAGAAGCCACCGCCGAATGCCCAACTCTCTCAGGTTTCCCTTCGGTTCCCCAAACATCGTCACACCAAGGAAAGCTCAAGCTCGCTTCACCAAAAGGCGTATGATGCCTAAAAATCCGCAATGAGAGGGCACCGCAGTTGGATCCCTGCATTCTGCTTTGGTCACAAGCCTGCTCCAAAGACCCCCCCAACCCCAAAACCTCAGCACCCGCCACACCCCCCCAACCCCCAACCCCCACCACTGCCCCCACCCTCGCCTTCTCCTCCCTCCTCCCCACCCCCTCGCCTGCAAGAAGGGCACGCCGGCCTCCCCTGCGATGGCACGCGCCAGCAATGTCTTGCCCGTGCCCGGTGCCCCCGACATCATCACGCCTGCCAATCAGGCGCCGCACGGCGCCTTCGCGTTCCCACCAGCCCCGTTTTGGAGGGGCTTTCTGGGAGAACCGGAAGGACACCCCCTGTGTTCGGGGTCCCCTGATTTTGACTCACACCTGAGTGACGCAAGCCGCAAGCGCTGACAGAAAGCGCGCTGCACAGAAACTGATCCGGCTCGTTTGGAAGAAAGAGCAGCCAAATGTGGAACCTCCCCTCGTCTTTGCCTTTTTGACGCGCTCATTGTTCAGTCCCTCATATTTGAAACCAACCCTCGGGGATCCCCTACACTGGGTGCAACCGTCAAAAGGGCCCCCACGCCCAAAAGCAAGACGCAAAAATCGAGAACCCCAAACTTGCTGATTTCCTTTGGCCCCTTACCCCCAAAAAGGATACCCCAGGGCGGTTGGTGTGTTTTGAGGGCAGGCTTGAAAGTGAAACCAAGTCTCCAAACGCCTCAAAGTCCTGGGGTTCACATAACCATTGTCTTCCTAAGGATTGTCATCATCCAAATGGCAGTGGTTGTCAAAAATAGGGTAACCCAAAAATGGAACCCTGGTAAATGGAAACATGGACTACAATCTGCGGTGTTTGTTTGTTTAATTTTGACCCATACCCTTTTTGGGTCAACCTTTCTTTTAATGGGGGTTGAACCCTAGGGATTGACTTTGTTCTACCACGCATAGACCAATATGAAACCGGCCAGGAACCGCACCATCTACCTGAAACGGCCCTTGGGAAGTGGGCGCTCACCCCAACGGCATGGTGCAAGAGTACCCTTTCTGGCTCATGCCTATGACCTCACTTTGGGGCTGCGGCCATCACGGAAATCCCCTAAACCCCGGCAAAAACCCTCCCTGCATGCAGTGTTGGGCCTTGGAAAGCTTGGTATTTTTTCTTCGGGAGCCCCCCCAAAAAAAAACTGCGTCCTTTCGTTTGAGGAAGCCCCCCAGATGCCTTCCCTTCCAAACCAACCCCCGTCTGACGAGCGAGCAGCCCCGCGAGCCGCGCGCGCCTTTGGGCAGCTTGGCGCCGAGGCGCGTGAAGCGGTCGGGGTCCCGGAGGTAGAGGATGATTTCCTGCAGCTCCTCCTGGGATCAAACGAAAACCCCCCACATCGCCGGGACGTGTTTGAATCAGCCGGGTGGTACTCGGGCCAGGACGTGTTTTAAGCTAGCCAGGTGCTACTTGAGACGTGTTTGAGGTAGCCAGGTACTTGGGACGTGCTTGAGGTAGCCAGGTGCTACTTGAGACGTGTTTGAGGGAGCCAGGTGCTGCTTGAGACGTGTTTGAGGTAGCCAGGCGGTACTTGGGACGTGTTTGAGGTATAAGGTAGCCAGGCGGTACTTGAGACGCGTTTGAGGTAGCCAGGAGGTAATTGAGCCGAAAAAAAAATCAAAAACATGACGAAACATCACCGGGACGTGTTTGAGGCAGCCAGGCGGTACTTGGGACGTGTTTGAGGCAGCCAGGTGGTTCTCAGGACGTGTTTTCGGTACCCAGGTGGTACTTGGAACGTGCTTGAGGCAGGCGGTACTTGAGACTTGTTTGAGGTAGCCAGGCGGTACTTGGGACGTGTTTGAGGCAGCCAGGCGGTACTTGGGACGTGTTTGCGATAGCCAGGTTGTACTTGGGACGTGTTTGAGGCAGCCAGTACTTTGGACGTGCTTGAGGCAGCCAGGCGGTACTTGGGACGTGTTTGAGGCAGCCAGGCGGTACTTGGGACGTGTTTGCGCTAGACTTGGAACGTGTGAGAGGCACTTGGAACGTTTGTGAGGCAGCCAGGTGGTACTTGGGACGTGTTTGAGGCAGCCAAGCGGTACTTGGGACGTGTTTGCGGTAGCCAGGTGGTACTTAGTACTTGAAACGTGTTGAGGTAGCCATGCGGTACTTGACAACGTGTTTGAGGTAGCCAGGTAGTACTTGGCACGTGTTTGAGGTAGCCAGGTGGTACTTGGGACGTGTTTGCGGTAGCCAGGTGGTACTTGGGACGTGTTTGAGGTAGCCAGGCAGTACTTGAGACGTGTTTGAGGCAGCCAGGTACTGCTGGGGCGTGTTTGAGGCAGCCAGGTAGCACTTGCGACGTGTTTGAGGCAGCCAGGGGGTACTTGGGACGTGTTGGTACTTGACAACGTGTTTGAGGTAGCCAGGTGGTACTTGGGACGTGTTTGAGGTAGCCAGGTGGTACTTGTTTCGGAATTGATCTGCCCCTTGATTGCAACTTCATGGCCTACGGAGCCCGACCAAAGATCCGGCGAGCCTCGGAACCGAATTCCCGAAACCTCGGAGCCCTCCTTTTGAACCTTCCCTGAAAGCTGCTCCGAACCAGTCTGCAGCTTGGCAGAGACCCCAAAGCTTCCAGCGGTTGGGGAAAAATCGCTGTGGCAAGGAGGGTTGTGTTTGCTGGTTTGTTCGAAGTACTCCACACAAATCTCGCCGAAAAAAGGGGCTCGGGTACTTCGTCCACCGACAAACAGTACCCCCATGGCAACACGCTACGCTGGTTTGGGATTTACCCAAATTGAGCTAAACTGGGTTGAAAAAAGCCTTTGTGAACATGACCCATGTATCCACCAGAAAACATCAGCCGGTCCCATAGATGCAAAGCTAAAAGTTCAACGGCAGGCTTTCCCTTACCAGCCAGCAAAGCCCCCCCCCTCTGCGGTCCATAACATGGATACGGTGTCAAGCACGACCAAGAACAAATGCAAACAGAAGAAAGACTTCCAACACCATGGCAAAAAGTCATTAGATCAGCGAAACAAATTGTCCCAGAGCATTTCTTGGCTGCATAGCTGAAAGGATTGAGACGGACCCCAATGGGCCGCTGCAATCCATACGCGTGGCTGCGCGCCATGGCAATGTTTGTCCCAGCCGGTGAGTTGAACTCGGGGTACCTACCCAACAAGGGTTATCAGCCCCAGCCGCCTTGGAAGGCCTCTCCGCGCGGATGGATCCAGGGATGAGGAGCAGAAGGAGACCCCTGGAGGACACGGCCATCGTGGCAGAGGCGAACGGGGAGCTCGAAGCGGATGGGGTTCACGGAGAGCGAGGACCTCAACAGAGGGCCGGGACAGGCCGAAGAGGAGGTGGCTCGGAGGGGGGGTAGCAGTAAACCCGTTCTGGAGCCAAAAAGCCCAAGAGGAGGCGGTGCTCAGCGCGAGCCAATCTGGTGCTTTGCCGCCGGGGCCGGCGGATCAAATGAGAAGCTGGATGGAGAAGGACTTCCCCGTGGGCGACCTGGAGGCTTAGGACCGTAAGGGCAAAGTCAGGAGATCGGTATGCACCCCGAGGCGGCGAGCCAGGCACACGGGTGACTGGAGTGAAGTGAGGAGGGACCTCAGAGCTGGATGCCGACATCGCCGATGGAAGAGGATCGAGATCTCCACCCGGGTGATGTCCGTGAGCCCGGACAGGATGGCCGAGACTTACGGCCTGAAGGGCGTGGGAAAGGACGTGAAGATCAGGATCTGCAACCTGGAGATGGGCATGGTAAAGAATGCGGAACCATGGAGCTTGGACCGAAGAACGAGTTCCTTGGTCCGGTTGAAGGAAAAGGGCCGATGCTAGAAGAAGGTTAGCGACCAGGAGGAGTATGTGGCCGACCCGGAATTGCGCGTGGAAGGCTGCCTGAGGGAGGTTCTTGGGGTGGTGAAGCGCGCGGAGAAGGAGGGCATTGGCAAGATCACCGTGCACCCGGTGAGGGATCAAAAAAAAACTTTTTAGGCATCAAAAAAACTTATTTCTGAAGATCAAAAAAAACTTATTAGGGATAAAAAAGAAAAACTTATTCTCATTGATTTACTATTAAAAATGAAAAATCAGAGGATCAAAAAAAAATGGGGATAAAAAAAAACTTATTAATTTCGTGGCAGGCGAAGCACTTTCGCAAGGTCAGGTACAGATTTCGTGGCAGGCGCGGCACTTTCGCAAGGTAGGCGCAATGCTTTTGCAGGTCAGGTACAGATTTCGCGGCAGGCGCAGCACTTTCGCAAGGTGCGGTACAGATTTCGCAGCAGGCGCAGCACTTTAGCAAGGTCAGGTACAGATTTCGTGGCAGGCGCAATACTTTCGCAAGGTCAGGTACAGATTTCGCGGCAGGCGCAACACTTTCGCAAGAGGTCCAATTTCGCGGCAGGCGCACTACTTTCGCAAGGTACGGTGCAGAGTTTGACGCAGGCGCAGCATTTTCGCAAGCAGTGAAGAAAAATATACAGAGATATATAAACATGAAGAAAAAGGGAGAAAACAGAGAGAGAGAGAAAGAAAGAAAGAAAGAAAGAAAGAAAGAAAGAAAGAAAGAAAGAAAGAAAGAAAGAAAGAAAGAAAGACATAATGAAAGAAAGAAAGAATAAAAGAGAGAGAGAGAGAGAGAGAGAGATGATTCGAGGCAGTGATGATTCAGCAAAGCGCGCGTTAAGCTTTGTATACATTCTGAAAATCAGCGGGGGGGTTGGGGGAGCGGCAGCCCCCCCCCATGATGTTCGAAGAAGTGATGATTCAACAAAGGGTGGTGATGATCGAAGAAGTGATGATTCAGCAAAGGGTGCGGTAATCTCTGTAAACATTCTGAACATCAGCGGGGGGGTTGGGGGGGGGCGGCAGCCCCCTCCATGATGCTCGAAGCAGTGATGATTCAACAAAGGGTGATGATGATCGAAGAAGTGATGATTCAGCAAAGGGTGCGTTAATCACTGTCAACCTTCTACAAATCAGCGGGGTGGTTGGGGGGGGTTCCTTCCTTCCTTCCTTCCTTCCTTCCTTCCTTCCTTCCTTCCTTCCTTCCTTCCTTCCTTCCTTCCTTCCTTCCTTCCTTCCTTCCTTCCTTCCTTCCTTCCTTCCTTCCTTCCTTCCTTCCTTCCCCCCATAGGAATGAGCATAAGTTTGTTGTTGATGCCTAAAAAGTTTGCTTGATGCGTAATAAGTTGTTTGATGCCTAATAAGTTTTTTTTGATGCCTATCCTGGCATTGGCAAGATCACCGTGCACCCAGGTGGAAAGGAGTTCTTTCCCGGTGTGCCGGACAAGATCATGAGCAGAGTCGTTCCGAGCATGGAGGTGGATGGTGATGCCTTCCATGGAAACAGGCGAAGGAGAGGAATGGTGGAAAAACCAGAGAGCGTAGTGATCCGCCTGTTGGCGGGTGCCAAAGGGAGTCTTGATCATGGCACATGTGTTGAATCCCTAGGAAAAAGTGCCCTCCATACCACTATATATCATTATTATTATTCGTTTTTACTCACAAAGCCCACCCCCCCACCCCACCCGCCCCAGACTTGGAGGGTCTGAAACACCTTGCAATTTCAGGCAGCCGCCTTGACCTCGTCGCAGCCCTTGACATCGTCAAAGGTTGTATTCACTTCCTGGCAGGTTTTCTGCGTGTTGTATGCGTGTGTCTGTGTCTGTGCCCGTGTCTGTGAGCGTGTGCATGACTAGGGAGTTTGCGTGCGTGTGTGCGGTCTGGTGTGGGCGTAGCTTCGCCGGTATGTGCTGCGCTTGTGTGTGTGTCTCTGTGTCTGTGTCTGTGTGTGTGTATGTGCAGAAAGAATCAGGATGAGGTACCAACCAATTGGGTGTGGTCCACGGGTCGACAATTCTGGAGGGTCATAGCAAAATCTCTTTCAAAGCACACCATGCCTTTCACGCGTCCAAGACCTATGGGTGGATCATTCCCAACACAGGTCCGAAAGACTATTTTGTCTCAGTCTCAGATTGCTCAAAATGAACCCTGCTGGGGTGACATATGGGTACGGCGTGTTTTTGAGGGTACCCCTTTTGTTGGCCTTTTAAACCAACATCAAAGGAACACCCTTGCGCCATTTCGTGGGTGAAGCATAAACAAACGAGCCATATACCCCCTTTTTTTCCCGGCGCCTCTACCGGCGTCACCTTCTTGGAACCCATGCCGAAGCCCTGGCACCGGTGCGACTGATGGGAATTCGGAAAAACCCACGCCGAATTCATTCGAAAACTGAGCCGCGGATGCGAACAAAAACTGTGGGAAGTCGTTGCTTGCCAGTCCCAACTTCTTTTGCAGAGCTGCTCCGGACCACTCCGGAGCTTGTATCCGGCTAGAGAGACCAGAACTTTGAGCTTGGAGATTCTGGGGACGAAACCCACAAGAAGTTCACAACCGGATCCCAAACAAAAACCATTTCCCTTTTGCAAAAAACGACTCCTTCAGCCGGATAAACGACTGGGGATCTCAAATCGCGGGCAGAAACAAAGTTGCCATCCCACAGTTGCTGACATCCAGTGTCTTTTTCTTGAGGCTCGGTGGCCATGTTGGGGTGGCGTTTCTTGGGAAACCAAAAAGGAAACCCTTGCCATTTTGGGGATGCCCCGAAAAAATAGACACATCCATCCACGTTCATCCAAACTGACTTCACAATCGGCACCCATGTTCCAGAAACGGTCCTGATCCTTTAAACTCTACATTTGGAGGAATGACATCTGGCTGAACAGCTGGACAGCTCGATTAGTTAGAAAGGAAAACAAGACCAAAGGGAAGGACGAAATTCACTTCTCAGGTAGGTCCAAATGCGGGTGTGTTTTGTGAGGGTACCCCTTGTTGTGGTGTTAAAGGGAAACTAGGAGGCAAACCACCTTGGGGGAAGGGGGGGGAGGGCTCCTCAAAAGGATGCCCTAAACTATAATTTGAAACAAGCCATACTTTCGTGGTGACCCCAGTTTTGGTGTCCCTGCAAACCAGCCTCAAAAGACAACCCCCAAGCCACCATGGGCCAATGGGCCCAGAGGAAAGAAGGGCATCTCTCTTCGGGGTAGGTCTGGGAACCTGAAAACAGATCGCCCTAAGCAAAAAAACAATCCCCTTCTCCTTTGGGTCTTGTTTTTTTTTTGGGGGGGAACCCTTTCTTGGGTCTATTAAAAAGATAAGCTGTTCTTTTTCCGGGACCGGAGACTCCGGTAGTTGGCCAAGGCCTGGCCAAGCTTCTGCGAGAACCCTCGAGAGGGCCACTCGCGAGGGCCTTCTGCACGTTGCCAGCAAGGCCCTCCGCAAAGACCGTGACCCCCGCCACCATGATCAGCATCGTCACGGAGGAGCGGAGCAGCCTCCACAAATCGACCCATATAACCCCCCCGCCCCATTTCTTGGAGGGTTCCTTAAAGCATTCCCCCCACTTCTTGAATCCTTTGAGGCTGCAAATCAAGGGACTGCCGCATAGAGGGCCTCAGGGAGACAAGGCGTCAACAAGGCGGCCCTGCACAACAGCCTGGGTGTTGACAATGCGTATGGACAAACAAAAATTAGACCATGAATCCTGAATTCTCAACTCTCCAGCAGAGTGCTCAAATATGGGCGCCCGCTTCGAACGTACAGGTCAAGATGGAAGTGCAGGGACCTGTGGACGTCCTTGCTTTGTAGTGGGAAGGCAACATCTACCCAAGACGAGTTTTCATGGTCGCTGCGAAATTGAATCCGTGCTGGCCTTGTGGACGCTCACAGGGAGCGCTATAGCCTTCCGAATCACCCGGGTGGCTCTTCCAACATGGGGTCCTCCTTTAGAAATCAAGCTCACCAACAAAAAGGCAAAAGCAGCAGCAGAAGCAGCCAGCTGCAGCGAAAGCGGCAGGGAAAGCGGCAGGGAAAGCGGCAGGGAAAGCGGCATCGCCTCACCGGCGGCAGCGGCGGCAGTAGCGGAAAAACGACGATGGTGAAGGAGGACCACGTCACCACCACCATCACCACCACCACCACCACCACCACCACCATCATCATCATCATCATCATCAGCCACAACCACGCGCAACCGCAACTCCAATCGCCGCCACCGTGACCACCACCACCACCACCACCACCACCACCACCACCACCACCACCACCACCACCACCACCGCAACCACCGCAGCCAAAAGCCCTAAGGCTTTGTGCCCGGTTCCCTTGCTCGCTCCTCCAGAGAGCCCGCCGGTGCGTGTCTGCGATCTGTACCTGGCGATCAATGGCGGCGTCTCTCAACAAAGAGACGAAGGGGCCCTGAAACTGGCTTCAGTCCTTCTAATCTGGATGAGGCTAGTTCCGGTTCGTTCCGCCGACGAGTCGAAAAGACTGGGTCAGACGTGCGTGAAGAGGACCTCTGCACATCCATCATAGCTCACTTGCCCATTGCCCACCAACTATCGGCTCAGCTGCAGGGCAATTGAGGTTCGAAAATGGGGGGGGGGGAAGAGGGGTGGGAACACGAGGGAAAAGCCGAACATTTTCCTTTGGCATTTCGGATCCTGCGGCTGGAAATTTTGAACGCTTACCCCTACGGAGCCTTGTTCTAGAAGTTGATTCCAAACCATTCTTTTCAGCCATCGTTCTTTTCCACAACCAGATCCATTTCCCCAGGTTGTTTTTTTGTGGTTTTCTAGAAAGATCCGGATCCTGGGTTCAGAATGGAAATGGAAGTTACCCCTAGACTTGTCCGTTCCACTCACCTGTATCGGCTCCCCCTTCTCCGGAAGCTTCAGCTCCACCTGGCGAAAAAGACGCGACACCGGATGCGTCCACGTCCGCGGCGTTTCGCGCGCGGACGTAAACCCCAAGCCCTTACAGGGGACGCACCGAGCCCCAAAATTTGCTCAAGCCCAGAGGGTCCTAAGTGTGGTTCAAGGGGGTTCCTCAATGACAGATTCCTCAAATCCGCAAATATGAGGTACTTGGACCCTCTGGGAAGGGTAGCAGCAACAAGGTAAACACCTATACCAAAGGGAAAACACCGATATGCCCCACCGAAATTCAAAATTGGGGGGGGGGGGGGGGGTGGGGGCAATCTCCAATCGTCAAGGTTGAGGGACCCCGTCCAGTTGGCTTACGGAAACCGGATTTCTCCCCAGGTCTAGGGTCTATCTATCTTAACAAATGATCCTGGGAGAAATCCTGACTGCGTGAGATCCATCTTGTCCCTTAAGCCCTTCATCTGCGAAACCTCCCGAGTTAGCAAAACAAAGCGAGGCTCAAAGCTTGGCTTCGGAACCCCAAGCCGTTTCTCCGAAACGGCTCGGGCCCATGCACCAGCCACGCAAACTGCAGGTGCGGGCTGCCATGAACCTTCAACCCGCTTTTGCGGGCCGCGGAATTTCCTTTGGGCATGGGTTTGTAGGGAACACTCCAAATATGTGGTGTCCCTTTTTCATTACATCAAACCCAAAAAAGGTACCCGGGCTAAGCAGATTTCTGCACTTGCAAGACTAAGACAACCTGAATCCAGGAATCCCCCAAACCCTTCATGGAGCTCGATTCGCCGCTCAAACCTCACCCTCTAACATGGAAAGAAATCACTAGAAGACGCGCCCAAAGGTCTTCACACGAAGCCGCGCGAAACACGAAAAAAATCGTCGTCCTTGCGGTTTGGTTGTCTTGGGTTCCCCATTTACCCTCTGGAACCAAGGGCTCCGAAACAGATCCAACCCAACCCAGCCCACCCGCGGGATACCTGAGGAAATCGGTCCAAGCGATAGGTGGCCTTTTGGTTAAAAATAGATGGGTTTCCCTGGCAAATGGAACAAAACCCATCTAAACCAGTGGAACCCATCGACTTTTAACCAAACTAACCGATCAAAAGGACGCCAAATAGGTCCACGGCCATGGGTCAAAAGCCCGTATTTTCCAGTGAGCATCCCAATCCCCAACCTAAAAAAGGCTCTAAAATGGGCTGTGAATTCACCTACCAACCAAAATGGGATCCCACCACAGCCACCTCGGCCCAAGCTCCGCTCCGGGGACCCGGCCACGCCCGGCGCTGCGGCACCTGACGGGCTGCGGTTTTCGGGTTACCTCCCTCACCCGGGTGAATCCCTCACCCTAGAAAGGCAAAGCCACGGCCAAGAGAAGGAAAACGCATGGCCACTGCAAGTGCGGTTTTGAGAGAAACACTACAGAGGAAGTGTGTGTGTGTGTGTGTGTTGCTGGGGGGGGGGGTCAGCTACTGAAATCCTGGTTGCAAAGGGTGCTATCCAAAAGCATGCAAAGAGAAGCAAGAAAGCGGATATCCACGCTCCATTTCTTGTTTAAGCCGACACTTGGCCCAGTCAGGTTTTGATTTTGGCGCAAATGACCACACCTCTAAAGGAGTCTACGGCCGGGGGTGGGGGGGAGCTGGTGAGGGGCTTAATTATCTAGGCCTATCCACAGCAGTCCCCCCCACCCACGCCCTTGGCCCAGAAATGTGTGCGTTTTTTTCACTGGACCCCCCCACCAAAAAAATGCTTCAGCTGTTCTCTTTGGTTTCCCTATAACACCCAAACAAGCCGGTACCCTGAAGAAGACACGCAATGAAGGACCAAAAGCCCACCGCCCCTCGGCGCCTGCGTCTGCAACACTCATGCTGCGTTGCACCTGCGCCTGGGGGGCAATCAAGCTTCTTTCGCGGCGTCTGGGCTGTTCAGGCTTGCTCCATCGGCTCTGGCACAAGGAAAACCTGAAAATCTGGCCCAAGAACCCTCAAACAAGTCTTGAAGCTTGGATTTCTGGAAAGGCAACAAAGGGGTTGAAAAGATCCAGGAGCCATGTCCGGTGTTAACCGCCGGGTTTGCGAACAGGCACCCGGGAAGATGGAGCTGCCTCAAACGAGCCCTCTAGCAGAACTGCTTCATCCAAGCCCTTACTTGCTGCGCGCGAGGCCCTGAACCCAAATGAACAAAGCCCAAGAAGAATCCCCAGCAGCTGGGCGGCGCTTTCTGCGAGGCTTGAAATCCCTTCGATGGGCGCTCGCTCCCCGCGCCCGTGTAGGGGGCCGCAGAAAGTGGCGCGCGATTGCGCGATAGCGCGAGAGCGCTATCGCGTTTTGCATGGTCTCAGCGCTTGAAGCTTCCGCACATGGTTGCGGAAAGTCGCGATGACTTTTGACTGGGGGGAGCTACACCCGACATTAGAAGTTGAAACCCCCGTTTCCAACTCAACCCCCAATTGCCCTGGGAGGGGCTTCCTTCTTCCCTTCGAGGTTTCCACAACCATGGCTTCGCCTTCAGAGCCTCAGGGTCTGACAATCCAACTGGCAACTGGCAACCCTGGGGTAGGAGAATCTCCATTTGGGGAACCCCCCAAATTGGGGTTGCATCGGACTTGTGTTTCTTCTCTTTTTTTTTCCGCAGGGGAGTAGGTTCTTGCTTTTTGTGTTGGGGGGGGGGGGTAGATCTTCCATTGGACCCAAGGGGATTAACGGGCAACCAAGCCACCTGCCTCTTTCAGAAAAATGCAGTGAGGCTTCACCGATTCAAGGGTTTCAAGACTTTTTCAAGATCGCTTCCCTTGCTTACCTAGTTTGGAATCGGGAAAGCTGGGCGAAACTCCAAATGAAGTTTACGCATGTGATCTTCAACGTGCCAATGATTTGATCAGAAGAAGTGATCCTAAGAATTGGGGCGCCCAGTTGGATTCCGCATCAAGGGAAGCCGGAAGAAAGGAAAGAAAACATCCTCAAGAATGGCTTATATAGGCAGGAACTCTAGTCCCTATTAAACCATGTACTAGAACAGCCTAGGGCTGGGCGTGAATGGTTTCAGCTTCTGCGGTCTGCAAGACGCATTTAGTTCCCGCGGCGGGATCCTTGCTTGCCTGCTTTGTTCGTGCCCGGTATGGAGGAAGCGACCAATTTTAACCAGGCCAAATGAGCAGCGTCGAAAATACTTTTTTGTTTGTGGCCCAGCGGGTGCAGCGGTCTTTGGTGGCTTTCAAGATCACCTTTGGGCCCATTTAAGCTGAGCTTCCCTTGGGTGAGACAACCCTGCACAAACCGACAGATCCCCGAGGTCCTGTCCGGGCGATCGCTCTTTTGGCTTGCACCCCGGCTCAGCTCCCGCTGAGCGACCATCCGCTCAGGGTGTTTCTCCCCTGGGCGTTTTCACGCCGAGCCTTTGATTTGGGCCATGGTTTTTCGGCGTGGGAAGACAAAGGGAAAACAAAGGGACACGCCAAGGTCCAGGAGGGAAGGACCCCCCCCGTGCATCACTGCACCGTCGGCATGAGGCCGTTGATGCTGGAGTCCCCATCACAACCTGCCCAGATGAGGTCCATGAAGAGAAGCCCCCCTCCCAAGTCAAACGGCTTAAACCGAGCCACGCAATTTGGGCGGCCGCTGTCTTTTGCCCTTGCAATCTTGGGGATATCTTCCGTGGGCGTTGACAGCGATTCGAGTTGGAAGCTGGCATTCCTCCAAAACGTGATCCAGAGTCCGCCTTACATGGGTCGCACTCCCCCGATAAATCAACCCGTTTCGTTCATCTGGCTGAATCACAATCACAAACGAAGAAAACATGGACCGAGCAGGAATCCGATGACAACCGCTCACCTGCCTGGAATGGAGCCCCAGGTCAGGATGAAAACGGGTCGCAAATCTGTGAGCTCGACCAGTGGTCAAAACTCATGGCAGTGGCCCCTTTCATATCCTCGCGGGTGTCTAAAATCCCAGGACAAAAGTGGGGGTCATGACCCGGGCCCAAGCTAAGGGATCCGTCTTTTGACCATGTCCGGTCTGTTGTTCTGTTGGTGGTACCCCGTCTTTGGGGTTTAAAGCGAACCAGAAGGATTCAGCCAACATTTTGGAGGGCTCCGATTTTTTGAAAAGTGACACACCCATATATCTCAAAACTAGAAAACCCCACCAAACCCAACCCAACCCCCAACCCCCCACCCCTCAGACCCCCCCAGAAAAAAAGATCAGAATATGCTTCCACTTTGAAACCAACAGAAAGTTGACGTGCGAGGTCGATCGCTTTCATGGCCCCAGTTCTCGAAAACCGGGCCCATTTGGGTGGCCGTGGGCGTGCTTTGTGTGGTTTAAAGGGAAACCAAAAGAAAGAAGAAGAAGAAAAAAAAGGAGAGAAAAAAAGCAAAAAAGAGAGAGAAAAAAAACAACACATATTTTGGGTGGGCTTTTCTGATCGACCAAACTCCACTTCGCACCAGTTGGTGGTCTGTCCCAGTCTTCGGGCTTCATCCATCCAACTCGCGCGAAATGGATTCGGTCCCTCTGTATTTGGACACATGAGTGTGTCTCAACATCGGGGAACACAAAAATGTAAAAATGAAAAATGAAAAATGCTGGTCTCGGGGAACACCAAAATGTAAAAAATATGCTGGTCTTTTTGGGGGGTTCCCTTTTCAAACTGGGGTTCGGCATTTTCAGAACCCCCCCCCCCCACACCCCCCCCACCCGACATCTTCATTTTCCTCAACCCAGGCCCCAAAGCCTTGCACCAGCTGGCTGAGCATGGCCGCGCCCGGCTCCGGGCCGAAGTCCTTCCATACCCCGAGATAGGTTTAAGATGCCGGCAAGGGAGGGGGCGGGGGGGGGAGGGGCGGGGGGGGAGGGGTCGCCATGGACACTTAGAGTTTATTTTGCAGCCTGAAACCCAAAAAATCAATACCCTAAATGAAGGAGGTTGCAAAACCCTAAGTGTCCATCATACGGGGGGGGGTGCGGGGGGAGGGAGGAGGGTTTGAGGTTTGGGGGTGGGGGGGGCTGATGGGGTCAACCTATGGCTCCCTGGATGGGCGCCAAAAAGGTTCCCGTCGCATTGGATGAGAGGGAATGCCACAAAGGGCCCCTGAGAAACAAACAAACCATCCATATGAGGTTGCCGAAAATCGTGGGCATCGTTTCGGTGGAGATTTCTGTCCAAACACTTTTAAGGCGGTTCCCTATTGAAGTTCACAGCCATAGTTGTTCATGACTGTTCAACAAACTCTTTGCGGTGAAACCCCCGGAAGGAGACCGGAGCCTGGTTCAAACAAGAACCGCTCAACGCCTGCACCTGCAGGGACCTGGACAACAAAGGACAGCAAAGGTTCATCTCTTCCGACTAATGGAGCAAAAGAGGGAAACCGGGCAAATTGACAGGTTGGCTGTGGACAATTCTGGGCCAGCCCAAAAATCCGGGCCGGGAGTCCTTTTGGCTTCCCTTTGAAGCACCCAAAAAAGGGGGGGCAGTCTACCGGTGTTACTCAACGAGTCTACCCAGAATGGCATTGGATTGGCACCTAGTGTCAGACATCGGCACCAAGAACCTGGATCGTTGGCTCACGAAGGACATGTCAACTCTCTGCCAGCCCATGCGTTGCGCGCCGTCCTTGTAGACCCCAAAATGTACAGCCCAGAAATGGGTACCCACCACTTGCAGCTTCAACCTGGAGACCTTGTTGTTCAAGGGCACCCTGCAAAACTGGGTTATGTATGGCCACGTGGGTGGCGTGGTGCGGGGGAAATGTGGCTCCCCCATTTTGAGACATGCCCAGTTCATCCGAAGGCTAGCTGGTACCTCAGAAGCTGACTGACTGACAGCTTCACATGTCGCAGAGACAGCTTCCAGCCTTTTTGCTTCGTGTGCCAAGGTCAATATTCATGTCCCCAGCTGACACTGGATTTGAGCGAGTGTGAGTATCAAATGTGTTCTCGCAATTGGAGTGTCCCCAAATGCCATCCTCTTTGCTACAGTAGACGGCTAAAGACCGTTGCGCATATGGGGTCTTTGTTGGAGAAAAAAGACATGCCCACACGCGGTGGTCATGTCACCTTCCCCTCAGGACCCCTGTCCCGAGCGCATCTCTTGGCATCTTGGTTAACATGTGCAAGTTATGATCCCTAAAAGCAACACAGGAAAAACCGTTCACTATGTTTCTTCCATGGTTTTGGTCATCTTGAAGAAACTCGGAGAAACGCTCGGAGGGGGATTGGGGATTGGGGATTGGGGGGGGGGATTGCCATCCTGTGAAAGTGTGTTCTTGGCCCATTCATTTTGTACCAAAAAAATGTGTTCACATGATGTTTCGTTTTTTGCCGTACCCTAAGATGTAAGCCCCGGCATGCCCTCTCTGGAAACCCTAGCCCAGCGCTAACCGTGGGGCATCAGTGGTGCCTTTTTGGGGGTCCCCTAAAAGAAGACACCGCCATAACAAAAGTCTACCCAAAAATCGCAAGAAGAAATCCCCTTGACGCCCCTTGACGGTTGGGGGGGGTCCCCTAAAACAAAAAACACCCAACAATTTTCAAAGAACTGTTCTCGGATATCCCAAACGACGCCCCCCTTGAGGGCCATCCCGACCCCCAAAGTGTCCAAGGCCCAAGGCCTCCTCTGGTGACGGCTCGCTGTCAGGATCCGGCTCCGGCTCCTCGGTCCGGAGCCAGCCCGCAGATGATGAAAGGGCACTTTGGGGGATCCCTTTGGATGATGGTGACGGTATGTTGATGATGAGGATGATGATGATTATTACTATTTGTTTTTATTCTTATTGTTCTTATTGTTTTTGTTTGTTTTATTATTATTATTGTTATTATTATTGGTGTTGCTATTATTCTTATTATTATTATCGTTATCATTATTATTATTACTATTATTATTATTATTAGTATTATTATTATTAGTATTATTATTATTAGTAGTATTATTACTATTATTATTATTATTATTACTATTATTATTATTAGTAGTAGTAGTATTAGTATTATTATTATTATTTTTATTTTATTATTATTATTATTATTATTATTATTATTATTATTATTATTATTATTATTATTGTTATTAGTATTATTAGTAGTAGTAGTATTAGTATTATTATTATGATTACTTATTCACTATTATTATTAATTATCATTATTATTATTATGATGATGATGATGATGATTATCATTATTATTATTATTATTATTATTATTATTATTATTATTATTGTTATTAGTATTATTAGTAGTAGTAGTATTAGTATTATTATTATGATTACTTATTCACTATTATTATTAATTATCATTATTATTATTATGATGATGATGATGATTATCATTATTATTATTATTATTATTATTATTATTATTATTATTATTATTATTAGTATTATTATTATTATTATTATTATTATTATTATTATTATTATTGTTATTATTATTGTTATTATTATTACTATTATTATTACTATTATTATTATTATTACTATTATTACTATTATTACTATTATTATTGTTATTAGTATTATTATTATTAGTATTACGATGATGACGATGATGATGAGGATGATGATGATGATGATCATGAAGATGGTGATCATGATGATGATGATGATGATGATGATGATGATGATGATGATGATGATGATGAACATGATGATGATGATGATGAGGATGAGGATGATGATGATGATGATGAGGATGAGGATGATGATGATGATGATGATGATGATGATGATGATGATGATGATGAGATTGGCCACCTCACCGCCAAAGTATCAACTCTTACCTTACCCAATGTGATCCCAGTAGAACAGGAACACTGTTGAAACCGAAACCGGGGCCAAGTCTATTAACCAAAAGAAACAAATTGGTTTATCCCCCACTCTTTTGCGTTGACTTTTGAGGGCTCCCAGCAACCCAGCCCACGTAGCGATTCCTTCTTTCTTCATGAGGTATTCCCCGAATTGCAACCCCCGGAACGCACCCTTCACCCTTTCCTTTGAACCCCCACTTTGCAATCCACTCCTTTTTCTCCGGACAGAGACAAACTTGGAGAGAGACCTGCTTGCTTCAACTGCACCGTCCTCACATCCCCCGAAAGTTCAACTTTTTGTGGACTAAATCTGGCTATGTGGAAATCCAACGTCTAAACACTCTGAAAACCTGAGGAACCGGATGGCTAAAAACCACCAGGCCAAGTTTTGCGGGGCCAAAGGCCCATGGAAGGCCCGCCGCTCCGCGCTCCCTCCGGCCTCTTCAGAGGGCGAGCCGACGTGCCTCGGCGTGTCCGATCTCCGGGGGTCGAAGAAACGGGTCTGTCGCTTGTTTCTTGCATTTTCTGCTTCTCTTTGGGTGGGGGGGGGGAGGGGGAGGGCAAAACCCCCATTCTTTGTTGGTATGGTGTTTTCAAGGGAAGAACACCACGGGGCCCTACAAGAAGAGACAACCCACGAGAATCCCTTCGCCGCAAACTCGCTCCGAGCGCCCATTCCACGAGCTCCAGGGCCGCAGCAGATCGCGATCCTCACAGTCACAGTCCTCGCACCTCAGGTGTCCAGTGGCCGTGTAGGTATGGGTCAAAATTAAACCAGGGTAGCGCAGGTTTAGCCCTTGGTTCCATTTACCAGGGTTCCCAAACTGGGAACCTACCCACAGCCATGTGGCTTTGCAGAGACCCTTGGCACATGGAATTTGGTGGGATGCTCTATTGAAACGCAAAGCCATGTGGGCATGAAAATTTTGCTTCGGAACCCTTTTGGTGGACATATTTCCACCAACCACAAATGAGGTGGTTCCCTGTTAAAATTAATGGCCTTATTTAACACCTTCGGAGCCTTACAACCGTAAGCCGGTCATAACCGTGACTAGCTAAGTAACCTGCCGAAACTGCCCACTTGTTCCACCTTCGCTACCCCCAAAAGGACTTCCAACAGGAACCACCTCTGGGTTGAAGTTTTGGGCAGCCACAAAATGAACCAGCTGAAGCAAAAAACTGCATACCCCAAAAGTTGCGGGGGTTCAACCGATATTGCTGGGTGACGCAGGCTATTCCCTCAGGTGCTAAAATCATAAGCGATCCTCTTTGGAGGTTTGACAGGGAAACCGGAAAGCACCTAATCGATGTATAGGGATCTCCCATCCAGGAAAGATGACCTGGGAGAGAGCAAGTCGAGTGGCTCGGTTGACGGGTCCATGGTCTATGGATCGGGGCGATCGGCGCAGAATGTCAATGGACACGTCTGGGTTGGTCGAGCCCCCGTAAGTGTTCGGCCAGAAGGTCTTGAAGGTTGGATGCAACCAAACAGCAACCAACAGGGCCATCTTGCTTGCTTCCGTGTCAATAAGGCAAGAGTTGTCTGTTTCATGTACCTTTCCAGCAACCAAAACAAGGGGGGCCTTGCAAAGAGGAATTCATTCGTGTCAAGCGCCCGACTCTGGGAAGCCCGGCGGTAGCGCTGGCACCAGCATGGGAACCTAGAAAGAAGCAAAATGAGGCCCTCCGACCATGGAATCCCACGGCAACCAACAAAAACGAACCACAAAAAAGTAAGCTAGCCACACAAGACAAACTGTCCACAAGAAAAGTTCCATACAAACAAGACAACTATCCACAAAAAGGAAAACTATCCACCACAAAAAGAAAGCTATCCGCAAAACAATAGGAAAACGATCCACCAATAAAGGAAAACGATCCACCCACAGAAACAGGAAACTACCCGCAACCCCTGCTCTTGGATGATCATGTGCCTTCCATGCGCGACTTCAGTGCCAACGGGGAAAATCACAATGCGCTGAGCAGGTGGAAGCAGAGAGCTGTCCAATGATTTTTGCATCACTTAGGGTCATTCACAAACCGGATATGGGGTATGCCACCACAGACCTTGAGGGAGCTCGCTCAAGTGAGCCAGTGAGAGCAGCAAAGGGTCGTTTGACTGGTGACACGTCCTCGTAGCAGACTCTTAGGGGCGCCACACCATGTTGCAAAAGAAGCATGCTACTGGGTAGTTAAAAAAATGGGGAGGTGGACTGCCACGTGGCATAGGTTTGAGTCGCCTGAAAGCTTCCCGACGCTGGAAGGCCAACCTCAGGCCCCACTGAGAAACGCGCCGTCCCAACAAGCCAAAAAAAACAACTCCCTCCCGGCTGAAATGGAACCTAGTTCTCGGAAGACGAACCTTGGAACCGCTCCAGGTCGGGAGCCTCAAAGTGCTCATCCTCCGGCAGGGTTAGCAACCTCAGCGCCAGCGGCATTTCGGAGAAAGGGGACCCAAAAGAAAGGGGCCCTCGTCTTTTTCTCGAATCCAGCGGCTGTTTGACCCTTGCCTTTTGGTTTAAGCTGGGGGTCGAGGAGGACGGGTCTCCAATTCGGGCTACCTCCTTGAGGCCTCTGTTCGTAACCGCAAAAGAGCAGTTTGTGTCTGAAACTATCCACCGAAAGTGTGCCCACCCCAACAAAATGCACAAATCACGTGCTGCTTGATAGCAAGGATTGTGCTGGAAGCAGGTCGCTGTCTGGAATACAAGACAAGAAGGTGTTCGGTGCGTTTGGTGCAAATGGGTGCAAAAACTGGACATGTCCAGTCTGTTGTAGCTTACTCAGCCTCCTATTCTCGGAAAAAAATACTATAATCGGCAAGACGGAAAGTCTGCCGCCCCCCCCCCCCCCACAAAACAAAAAAAACAACAGAATCTGGTCCGGGCATTGACCGAAATCGGGGCCACCACGTCAAGCCGTCAAGTGAGGCGTTGCCAAAATTTTGAGAACACCAAACGCGGAGTGCTTGGGCCTCGGGCCGTAGCACCTCCTGTGGGTCCGATTCGCTGGGTGCACACAAAATGGGCGTGTATGTTTCTTCGAGGCCGCCCGTTCGGTGGGGGGTTCTCCGCCCGGAAACGGAAGCCCATGGAGGGGCCCCCCATTCTCCGCCAAGAGGAACCGTGGCAGGGGTCATCTTACATTCGCGGTCAACACATTCGCCATTCCCAGAATAGGTCTGGGAAACATTCGGTGGCTCAAAAGTTGGTACCCAAAACGCACCTTGGAAAGCACAAACAAAGGCTAAAATCAGCGTAGCCCTGGCTCTTTCGTTTTGAACCATACAAATTTAGTGAGTTCACCCCGTCCTGGAACCCAAGCTGACCATAGTGGAAATAATGACCGAGCTTCACATGAGACATGCATGCGATTTTGGTGAGCAACGTCCATTCCCTAATGTTAATTTTGTGAGTGTACCCATGCTCATTCCTTTATCTACAGTAGATTACTGTAAAGGACGGTAAATACTGACCGTGGCTCGCGTCAAAAAGGTGTTGGAGACTGGGCCGCCCTTTCAACAATCGGATCCATGCTTTCGTGTCTACTTTGGACCGGACCCATAAAAGAGAGAACCGCTGGGGCTGCTGGAAGGGGGGTCCAAAAAGACCCAACAGATGTTCCTTCAGTCCTTCTGTTCCTCAGGTCTTTTCCTGTGACGGTAGAAAGAAATGGGAACCCTTTTGGAACCGACATCCCCATTAATTAGTGGGCTCCCCCCATTCTTAGCGGGCTCTTGGTTCAGTGTCCCCGGCCGGGGACAAAAACAACAACCCCGAGTTCCGGCGTCTCCAGGTTTTCAGGACCGCCCACCAGCCCCACCAGCGCGCCTCTCCGATGGTCTGCACCTCACAATCGACTCCGACACAAGTGCCTCCCCGTTCGACCCTTCTGACAGGTCCGAGGACCATGCGGTGTCGACTTGGGCTTAACTTTCAGCTGGCCAAAATGGCCTCAACTCCCTGTTCTAATGCTCGGGTTTCATTGGCGCGTTGAGGCTATTCTTCCTGTCCAAAGAAACTGGTCAGGCGGTTCCGCATCCTATTTTGTAAGTACCCTCTTCTTGGTGTCCTTTTCGACGGAAGCTTGGGGCAAGCCGGCTCTGAAACCTTACAGTGCCGGGGGTTCCATGCCCCAACCCACACATTCCCTTCAAACTTTGGTTGCTCACCAGCGGGGATGTAAGGGGTACATCAGGCTATGCATTTGGGGCAATACGCTAGACACGTAGTTTCTCCAACCTGCGCCTTCCTCTTCAAGTTCCACCAACCCCACCACCCTTAAGGGAAATCGACCCCCCGTCCCATCGTGGAGATGGGTTCGGCCTTTCACCCGTTACGCACGCATTGCACACACCAACCCCAAAGCCCGGATCAAGAGAGCTGACTCGGATCCTTGCGCCATCCAGGTGACCCGTCACAACGACCTACTTCCACCATGAAAGTGGTGTAGCTTTGAAGGTGGTCCCGCAAGATGAGCGCGCAAATGCCCTCCGACCGTATGTGAGCCAGTTCGTAGGTCTCATGGAGGGCTTCCGCTTGCCCCAGACCACTACCCCGAGGTGGAAAAATGGGTGTGTCCTTTTTCGGGGGGGACCCGCCCCCCCCAAAAATGGCGGTTGTGCTTCAAAGCTCCTGTAAAAACACCCAAAAAGAGGGTGCCCAAATGGAGGGGTGTTCTCAAAAAGAGAAAGCGCCCAAATGGACTGAAGGCAAAAAGGGGCCAATGGCAGACCAAGGCATCCCGTGTATTGTTCAAGGAAACCAACAAAGTTGAACGGGAGACCTTGAACCAAACGTATGTTTGTGCTTCTTGCGTATTTCAAGCAAAACCAACCAAGTTGTTTAGCGCTTTGCGTTTTCCAAGATCTATTTGAGACACACACACACACACACATGCCCACCATGTCTTTGAAGTTTGAGCTTTTCCTAAAAGGTGTCCCTCAAAATGCTTGGTGTCCTTTTGGCGTCCCTCAAACATCATCAACCAAAAGGGGGGCCGAGTCCCATTTTGAGCAGGCGCATTTCAGAAGTGGCTACACTCCTTGTCTTACTGGTGTTTGCTTATAGAAAGGCATATGGCAACCATGGTTTGCGCAACGCCCCCTGGAGAGAAATTAAGCGACATTCCAATGGTGACAGGTTCCCTTCAAACCAAGAGGGGAACATCGAAATATATCTTTGTCACATTCATTAATTCTTTCATTTATGATTGCATTTATTTACTTATTGTTTTTTTCATTTATTGATTTATCTATTCGGCCATGGGTCAAATTCCGTACCCCCAGTGAACATCCCAATCCCCTCTAAAATAGGTTCTAAAATGGGTGGTGAAATTACCTACCCAAAAATGGGATCCAATTGGTTCTGACCCACAGCACAAAAAAAAACATTAAGTAATGCATTGTTCCATTTATCTACTGATTTACCTATCTAGTCATTTATATGTATATATATATATATATGTATGTATGTATGTGTATATATATATATATGTATAAATGTGTATATATATATAATGGAAGCATCTTGGTCGCACCGTACTTAGGGAAAACTGGTCCAGTCCAGCCGCTGTGCTCCCCGGCCATCTCCGGATGCGCGAAGCTGTGGCGGAGGGAGAGCAGCTGCCACGAGGAGCTGGGGCTGATGAGCCTCGGGAGGAGCTGCCTTGGGAGGTTTCTTGGAGTTTTTGTTTGGAGGCGCTAGGTTTTTGGAGGTTTCTTGGAGGATTGTGGAGGTGTTTGGTTTTTGGAGGTTTCTTGGAGGATTTTGGAGGTGTTTGGTTTTTGGTGGTTTCTTGGAGGATGTTGGAGGTGTTTGGTTTTTGGAGGTTTCTTGGAGGATTTTGAAGGGGTTTGGTTTTTGGAGGTTTCTTGGACGTTTTGTTTGGAGGTGGTTGGTTGTTGGAGCTCCGAAATGGTTTGGTTTCTTGGATGTTTTGTTTGGAGGTGATTCTCTCGATTGCTTTCTGCTCCCCTGCTAAAAGTTTTTAACCTTCAGTGGTTTACAGGAAAAACCCAATAGTTGGCAAAAAGTTCAAGTCCTAACATCCAAGCAAAATGCTCCAAAGTGATTTTCGAGTTGGTTGGTTGTTGGAGCTTCGAGCTGGTTTTGGAGGTCAGGTTGGTTTAAGGGCTGGTTTTCTTCCCGCGCCAGGTTGGTTTGGAGGCCCGTTTTTGGAAGCTCAATTCGTTTGACCGAAGAAACAAGTTCGGGGGGTCCCCTGGAAAGGCACGCCCGTTTTTGTTGGCCGGTGTACGTTTTTGGGGAGGGTCTGAGTTGGTTCCAAAGGAGAACCGATGCCACTTTGCAGGACATCTCAGATTCTTGCCTCGCACTGGGGTCTGTTCCCAAACAAAGAACGAGCTCACTTGGCACGCAAAGGAGCTCACTTGAAAGTATTCTGGGCAATGACTCCCACATAAGACATCGACTCCTCCGCCGAAATCCAGTGGGCACGAAGAATCCTGTAGGTTGCCTTTTGGAGAGCCAGCAAAAAAGCGTTGTGTTGCGCAGCCCCGCTGAACCTGAATAATACCAAATGAGCCAAACACCAACAAACCGCCCCAACCATACCCAGACCAAAGAAGAATTCAAGTTGGGTTAGGATATCAGTTCCAGGTGTTCCTGGTTGTTCAATCACCAAAACGTCGTTTTGAAGGGGTAAAGCAGCTGTGGGACTTGACGTGGAAGAAAACGCCTCACGTGACTACCCGATCTACCAAGGGGGTCTTCCCCAAACAAAGGAACCATTGTCCCATTGCCACGCCCAACTCCTGTCCCGAATCCGCTGCCATGCTCCACAAAGAGGTCCTTTCCCCCCTCCCTTTGTTCTTTTTGGTGAAATGAAATCCGTAGATGCTCCCAGGACCTCCCAAGCTCCATCCGTGGCCTCGAGTTGTCCTTGTTTGAGGTCCACACCCTTCATCTTGTCCACAGACCTAGTTTCACCTTCAGGCCTGCCTTCTCCGGCGTTGGAACATCTGCAGGTTTGATACCACCTGTTGCTGAAACACGCTTAACCACGGGTCTCTGCTTCAACAAATGCTTCAAAATCGCGCCATTTGTTGCCCCCGAGTTATGTGGTTGGAATCTGCTAAAACAGTCCCACACGCCGCATGCCCCACAGATTGTTTGATGGCTTCACAAGAAGCAAAGGTGAATCAGGGAGCCACCCGGTTACGAGCAACAAAGAAGATGATGAATATTAATATTGCCTTTTTCTGGCTCTTGTTGTGGGAACACTGGCGGCACAAACGGGCTGCGCGCCCCACTCCCCGTCCTGAAGTGAACCATAGGCACATTTGGGAGGCCGGGCCCCCCAATCTCCAGGGAGAACGTCACGCAGACCTGGCCAGAAGTCGTGCTCTTGGTATCGCAGGCTGTTTACTATGACATTGTTCAATGGAGGGGTATTTGCTTTAGGATATTCTTTTTTGTTCGTTGCTGCTTCTTTTGATTCTTTTCGCTGTTGGCTTCGTTCATTTCAAGGTGGTCAATTTAAAGGTGGCGGTTCTTGGCATCGCAGGAAGTGGCTTGATTCATAGCTAGACACAACCAGAGCCACTCTCCTGAAAAGCTTTACCATAGCCTCAATGTTGCTGGGGTTGTCTTGAGAAACCAAGGAAAACCGCCCAGGTTTGCGGATGACATTCTTCCCAGCAATTCACGAACTGGAAGTCGGAAATCCCCTGATGCCGCCGGCGTTGCGTCGGCTGCAGCAATGCTGAGCCCGACGTTGCACAAATCGTTTTGACCGATCTTCCAGCCCGAAAGGTCAAGATGGCCCGGGCAAAAGCCCTCATGCAACCTCCACGCACGCGCGTCACAGCTTGCATAACGGGCTGAGCAAGAGAGGGCATGCCACATCAGCAACAAACAGGCAGGTCTGTCACCCGCACCTGACGGGGTGTTTACATCTGCATGACAGCACACACACACACACACACGACAGCATGCCATCCTCGCAGCGACGCTTCAACAATGCACTTCCCGTGGCACTTGCCAAGGTACTAAGCTACCCCTTTGGCGCGCAAGATTGTGGACGCCGTGCGTGTGTGCTGCTGGTACTTTTTACCACAGGAATCTGTGGTGAAGTTGTGTTGGCTAAAGGGAAGGGAAGCTGATGTTGGCTTCAAGCGTTAGGTCCGCTCTTCCCAAGAGGCAAATGGGCCCAAAAACGATTTCCGGAAACCAGGCAACCTTATCGTCATTCTGGAGGGATCTCCCCTTTGTGAACCTTCTGAGCAGCCTGCACCGGGCCTCCCTCGGTCAGTGAATCCCATCTTTGGCAGTGGTGTGAACCCGCAGCCATGGTAGATAGACAAAACAACACGGTGGCAGTAACCAGCCACCTGAAAATGTGCAAGTTACCGAAACCCATAACAATGTCTAAACCCTGGCAAGAGGCGAAACGAGGCGACGTTCCAGCCCTTTGCTTTCAGCATCTCCGAAGTCCGGACATGTCCCCAAAATCAGAACCTCTTGCAAATCAGTTTGGCTGCGTGCCTGAAACAAAAACATCAAAAACACATCGAACCATCAAGAAAGCAACGCAAGACTTGCACAACTAACTGATCAAAACGAAGTGAAAGAAGACATCGAAACAAACAAAGCAAGCAATGACTCAGAACAGCGAAGCTGGCCGCCTGTGAGATACTGGTGATGACGCTGGACGAGAGTTGATGCTGCGCGATCATGTCCTTCATTGCGTTGCGGAACCATCAAAAGCGGATTGTGTGTTGGGGTCAGAAAGCATAGGGTAGAGGGTAGAGGTATTGAGACAACTGCACCATGAGAGCATATCCATATCTTCAGACACAACAAGCGACGTGCAACCTCTTTCACCAAGCATCAACCTGCCAAGGAACTTTGGTTCCTGCAAGCCAGGAAGTAAAGCTGGCCAACATCTTGTTTCATTTTGATTCTTGCAATGCGGCGGGCAATACAATGAGCGTTATTTTGGCTTTGAAGCACTGCGCAAGCTGTGGGGCCCACGTGCCCTGGACTGCTACGAAGCTACCCTTTGTGAAACACATATGGAAGCTAACAGGACTCTTTTGATATCCTTCTGGCCAGCCCCTCTGTCCTCTTAGATTGCTTAGGGGAGGCCAGTTTTCAATTGGCACGAGGCTAACATCGCGTGCAGGTGGGGGCACTCCAATCACAGGCAAACCCTCCTGCACCTTTGTCTCACTTGCTAGGACCTAGACACAGATGCCCAGTGGCCATGGGAACAACAGGCAACCCAAAAAACCAAGCAACTGCGAACCACAAGCTCCAGCGAACGCAGGTGCTCACAAAGAGCAGCGCAAACAAGTTTCACTGGGGACACTGCTTGCGCCAGGGCTTGTCGGAAGGAATGTCTTCAAAGTTCCCTCCCAAACAAACGACGATCCGCCGCGTCCGCTTTCGCAGGGAGCAACAAGAACTGCCTCTTTGACTGCGACTGCTCGTGCACGGGCTCCAGCGCCGCAATGGGAACTCGGCTTCCCTTCGCTTGTGGCGACGGGCCATTTGAAAAGAAGCCACATGGCTGTTGTCAACGGACATATCGCTGACCGTTTCTGCCGACCAGGGCACAAGTAAGATCAGGCTTGCTGCTGCTCGAGTTGAGCTCTGAGAACAACTCCTGATGCAATTGAGTACGGTTCTCCCTGTTTGGGGTGATGAGTATGTATTCTTGAGCTTGTCCGACTTATCCCTGTTTTGATCAGGTTTGGCACTGACATGATTAGGTTTTAGGAAGGCCTCAGCCCCCACACCCCACTCGGCGGCTGTGAGGCGGTTCTTCGCACTGACCAAGAGCTTGCTCGCCAGCGTGCCATCGCCAGAGCGCTGCAGAGCGGGCGCCCAGCATTTTATCCGCAAGGTCTGCAAAAAGTCCATAGCGGGACTAGACGGTCTTTTTTAGAAGCAAAACGGTCAACTGCATCAACTTGTGGCCTGAAAACAGCGTGCATTTCGCATTGGCCTGCGTGAGAGATTTGAAACGTGTGACGCTGCGCGTTCTTGAGCGCATGCGGTGACGTAGCAGTGGATCGTTTGCCTCTGACCCTGTGACCTCTACAAGCGCCAGTGGCTCCAGCGATGGGCGTTTCCCGCGTCCTGGCGCTGCAGCGCCCGCAGCCCAGAAGCAGATGAGAAGCCAGTTGAGGGCTGGCCCAATGTTTCGCCAGCCAGGGGCCAAACAGTCTATGAGGAGGCGTTGCGATACTTGGAAGAGTCAAACGCGGCCTCGCGCCAGCGCGTTTGCTCTGGCGCCTGGGTATTTTAGCGATTGTCGCTGCCAAGATAAGCAAAATGAATCAAAAGAAAGTAGCTACAGCGGCTAATAACGCTTTTCAACTGCACAACTGCTTGAGATCTTGCGTGCGCAGTGCTGAGTGGGCGCGCGCGGGAGACCGTGCGCTTACCAGTTGGCAGGCAAGTGCAGCGCTGAGCGCGCGCGCAGGGCGCGCTTACCATTTGGCAGATGTGTGGGCAGCGCTGAGTGTGCGAGCAGGTGCGCGTGAGCAGGCGCGCTCAAAATTTGGCTAAAGCGCGTCTGTGTGTGTGTGTGCAGGCCCGGGATATACGTTAAAATACCGATTGAAACTAAGGCACGCAAGGTAAGGCTGTCCAAGATGCTGCGCAGGCCACACAAAACGCGTTTGGCGAACGCTCGTGAGACGCGGGTGTGCCACGCCCCGTACAATATGTGAACTACCATATGGAGCAAAGGGTAAAGAACTGTCCGAATAGCTGCGCAGGCCACACGAAACACAGTTGGTTAAAACTCGCGAAACGCGCGTTTACTGCTTGGCGGAGCCTTCAACAAGCTCCACGCGAGCCTGCCAAACGCGTCAGTAAAAATACAAGGTTGCGGGTACACCGACTGCGCGGCTGAACAAAGCACGCCCGCCATGTTGGCTGCCAAGCTGAGCATCCGCCCCTGCGTCCTTTGATTTGACATACCCGGGCATACGCTGCAAGGACATGCAATCTTGACAGGTTCTGCGTTGTCTCAGGTCACTGCTGCTTCGAGCCCCGTCTCCCCCGTTTCTTCTGGGCCGTCGGCCACACCGCAAACCATGCCAATGCCCTTGCGCAGCCATCGCACCCACGCTTGTGGTAGAACCTTGCCATCACGGTCTGCAGGCGGAAGCCTCTGTCAAGACAAATCCCACCGTCACACGGACGGCCCTGCCTCATCTCGACCATCACCGGCACCCGGCCTCCGGCGCTCTCTGTCGCACTCCGACGCACGGACGGCCACCTCCTTCTCCGGACCACCTCCCACCGATGCGACCTCGCAGTCGCTGCGCCTCAGGGTGGTCCGAATTTCCACCATGACCCCCCAGCCATCGGTCACGTTTTTGCCGACGTTTCCCAGCCAGCGTCGTTTACACGGTATACTGCACTCTCGGAACGCTTCCAGCCGGTATGCCACCGATCCTCGCTTAGACAACTAAACGAGAACCCAACCCCAGATGGTTTGTTGGTAAAAAAGGAGACGCCACTGGACAACTGGGTAGAAATAGGCCAGGCGATACCCTTCAGACGCCGCTGACCCAAAAATAGGCGTGGCTTTGTTTAAGGGTACCCTGTATGTTGGTGGTTTTAAAGGGAAGCCAGAAGCAAAACCCCCCGGGAAAAAAAAAAAGACGAGCCACCCATTCCCCACGGCCTTCGATTGGTTTGCAGCCGAATGGCTTTCCATGTCTTCGGCATTGGAAAGCCATTCGGTTGCAAATCAACCAACGGAACGCTGTGTGGGTGGCTCGTGTTTTTTAGGGGACCCCCAAATGGCGGCGTCCTCTCAAAACCGGCAAAAAGGGGGCAACATTCCCATGCAAAGAAACGCCCCGATCTATCTGGCTCCTGCGATCGCTTGTCCACGTAAGGGCCAAACATCATGCCTCAAAGAAGGCAAACGCAACCCATTTGAGCGGGGAAAATGGGTGTGGTTTTGATGGGTAGGAAAACCAAAAGAAAACCACAAGTTTGGGGGTCCTCAAAAATGACACACCCAAATGGGTGTGAATTTTAGGGACCCTCACAGTTCAGTGGGGATCCACCAGTAAAATGTAGAGCCAAACAATTAGAATGGGGTACTGTATTGTGGTGAACTTTAGACCCAAAGTATGTCATGAACAAAAGAGAGAATCATGTCTTGACTTGCGGAAGAGACTGGCACCATTGGAGATCTGGGTCTTGACGTTCTTATTCCAGGGGGGCAACTGCTCGCTTCGCTTAAGCGGAGCTCTTTGACATCTGTGAGGTAGAGAGTCGGCTGAAGGCTGCCTCGCCCATGGAGCCAGAAATAGTTCGGAAAGAAGCCCGGGTGTCCCCTTCCGCACAAATCGAGGGACTCTGTCTGATACATGATTTGAGTCAGGGAAAACCCAAGCTTGAACATTGGGCTCAACGGCAATTTTGCCAAGCCCGATGCAACCCCAAGACCTATGAACCTATGGGCCCGGGCAGAAGGCGTTCACCATAGGCTCCACCTCAGGTATCTCACCACCCGTCCCGTTGGGTTTTGTTTGCGGAAGGTCCTACTGCTAGCCCCGACACAGCCTAACACACAACTCCAGTTTGGACCATTTTTTGGGTCTTCTCCAAAAGGTGTATTGGGGAGCGCCTCCCCTATGTCCGACCTGCAAACATCACCAACCAAAAGGAAACTAAGCACCATTCCACTGGCCTTTCCAGGGGATGTAGAGCAAAAAGCAAATGAGGCAACGCTCATGTGTGGGCTCGGAGATCCCGGGGATAGAGATGTTGTTGTTCTTCCGGCTGGTGCGGGCACCAACCAACCAGCCAACCAACCGACCGACCGACCAAACCAACCAACCAGCCTGCCCAAAGGAAAGCCAGACCCAGCAACACGACATGGGCTGCGAAAAACACGTTTGGCAGATCTGAGTCCATTCTTTCCCCGATTTGAGAGTTGGAGTTGGGTGGGTTTCAGCTGGCTTGAAGCGAGTGGTGCTTGCGGTTCGGAGTTCGTTCAGGATTGGACATGCCACATAAGAGTGGCCCAAATGATGCTGGTGATGCTGGAGATGCTGCCTTTCTTGGTGGGTGCTGGCCAGCTGGCTGGCTAGCCGGCCGGCCGGCCGGCTGGCTGGCTGGCTGGCTGGTTGGTTGGTTGGGATGTGTGACCATGTTGGCGCTTGTCCGTGCAGTTTGTGAGAGGCATCCTGGGTTGCATCCCCCTGGCTTTTCTGGGCGAGGATTGCACTCCGAACTCAACGCCATCTTGTGAGTGAGCGCCCTGAATTCTTTGGGTTCATATGGTTCATTGCATTCGAAGAGAAAACCGCGCTGGTGTTCATGCCTTCTAAGGACTCCGAAAGCCGAGCGTCTGTTGACGAGTCCGGGCTTGGAAGAAAGGCGACGGCTTCGCAAGGCGGAACTATGCTCGACTGGTCTTTTGGCCTGCGGATGTGTTCGTAGGATCAACGGCAAACAAGCCTGCGCGTTTGAGGAGTCATTCCAAGAACTGCCCGAACAACTTGTCCCAAGGCGGCATCAACCCCAAGACCTCCTGCCAGATCAGTTTGACTTGAGAGTGATGAAGCCGCTGTTTACTTTTTTGACCTCTGCACAAGTCATAAACTGATCACTGAGTCAGTGGGCATGCGCCATATTCCGGAAGGCCACAAGACAAGGTGGGTCAAAGAGGAAGCCAAGGTGACCCGTATGTTGCGCTGCTAGAAAATTGGGAACGGATGAACCCCAATAAGATTGGCACCCCCCCCCCGTTTTTCATGGCTGGTCCCCTACGTTTGGGAGCAACACACCGAAGGGTGGCAACCTCGCGCCTTCGTCCCGGTTCCCTAGGGACCAAAACAAAGCACGGGCAGCAACCCCCACATGCCGTTCGAGGAGTCCGCTGCAAACGGTTTTGGAAGGCATACCCTTTCAGTTCCATGTTTATCTGCAGAAGTTGAACAAGCACGGCTGAGGCAATGGTATGGTATGGAGTAACGGTTAGTTACTCGGACAGTATAAGACCTGCCTGCACCACCAAAGTTGGGTGCGGCTGGGGCCCCCCACATCGATGCCCGTCCATGCGTAGGGCACCCCACAGCGGCGGCCTAGCGAAGCTCTCAGAGCAACTGAGAAATGAATGGTCAGTTGGCCATAGTGAAAATCGAGAGACCCCCTATTCCCTTGCACCCACGTAGCTGGGAGTTCGTTTCAGCGCATTTTTTGGCCTTGAGTCTTTCGGGTACACCACAAGGGTCATGTCAACCGCACCGTCCGCAACAGCGAAACAGTTTGCCGTCTACCCACTCATTGAACCCCTTCTCCGTTGCCAGTTGCCAGTCTTTCATGCGCTGCTTGACCCGCATGGGCAGTCTGACATGAGTTTTTCTTCAAACGCGGAACCCCGAGACCGTGTGATTTTCTTTCGGTTTCGCCGTAAAACCAAACCCCACAGATGGTAGTCTGAATAGACAACCCCGTATTCTGACCGGAGAGAGGATGATGGTGTTACGCCCAGTGTGTTGACACTAAGCTGGCAACATCCCCTTTTGGAAGATTGCAGCGGGTCCAGGTTCGCGGTGGGAGGGACTAGTTGTGGCACTTTGCACCGCGACAAGCATGTGTGTGCTTAAAGTCAAGGGCAGTCGAAGCAGCCTGCTGCCCACATGTGGCTACCAGAAAATCCAGCCACCTCAGTCAGCTCGTGCATGACAATATGGGTGTTTTTGGACGGAAACCCCCCATATTGCAGAGGTGGGCTTTACATGGAACCGACAAAAAAACGAGACGCGTTCCATGGCCACCTTCTTTGAAGCCCGGTTTGGCTTCTCAGGTGCTCTGGGCTCCTTCGCTTTCGGTTTTGGTTGTCTGGTGGCCAGGAGTATTGATCAACCCCCGCCTGTTAATTGTTAAGCTGGCTGCAAAAAGTTGCTGGCGTTTTGCTACCATACCGTGGATGGGCGAATCCTGCACCGAAGAAACCCTGGTTTCTGATGATTCCCCTGTACAAAACCAACAAACAATGGTTTCCCATGGTTTCTTCGCTGCAGGATTTCCTCCATCCACAGTAAGGTCGGGAAGAACTGGCTGTGGGTCAAAACCAATGATGCCATTATTGGGGTAGGTGCACCACCCATTTTAGAACCTATTTTACTGGGGATTGGGATCTGTAAGCCTAAAAGTAGGAGACCCCCCAAAACGGGCGGCTTCTCGCATCTAAAACCGACCCAACCCTCAAGAGAAGCCCGCCATGCTGAGGCTCCGGCATCTGCCTCGGCACTGGTCGCCATCATCTGGGATGACTTGTGAGCCTTGCTCCAGCGGAGAAAGAAAACAGAACCACGGGTTGCCAGCCTTGCACTTGGCTGTTGCTGGGTTGTCATTATTGTTTTTCTTGAGTTCCGTCTTGCTGTATTTCGCTCCTTCATAGGGCAAAAGAAGCGCGGAAGCAGCGTGGGTTGCCGCCACCCTGCAATCCTGCCCTGCATGGCCTTTTTGTAGCACTCAAGTAGTAAAACTCACTTCGTTCTCTTCGGGGCGTGCGGGCGTGGCACCGTCCGGTAGGGAGCAGGCAGGGGTTCAAGCTTGGTTGACGTTGGAAGGGGAGCAAAAATTTGAATCTTAGCAGTTAAGTGGGAAGTTCCCACTAAACCACAACAAGCAAACATGTAAAATGTTTCCCAACAACAACCATGCAAGTTTGGAGTCTAGGTTTGGGGTTTAGGTTTTGGTTCAGTCAGATGCCAAACGCCGTGACGCCGGCTCCGGGTTTGGTTCGCGTCTCTCGCCGACAACCCGCAGGGGCTGGCCGTAAGAATCCACGCTGAGGAATCCCCTTTGGGCCCTTCATAAGCTCACCGTATCCCGCAGATCATTCAGTGGGCTCACGGCCACAAAAGTAATCCGGATCCCCAAAACATGGAACACCCGAAACCAACCAGTGCTTTAACACCACCGGGGTTCTATGCTGCACCCCTGAAACGGTGTCCTAATGTATATCATTCAACTGATCAGCTCTGGAAAACCCCAACAATGTCCCCTCGTTTCCCTTTGGGTAAACACAAAACATAACCCGAACTTCACTGAGGCTACCCCCAGAGATTTCTCCGGCCTTTCGCGCCTTGGGTTCCCATGGGTTGCGATTTCGCAGCCCTGCGCTTCAAAGAGGCGTCCTCCTTTGCCTCCGGGCCGAAGCAAAGCGTATGGATCGCATGGCCACACTGCGGCACCAAGACCTTGGGAACCTCGGCCGGGACGGACGCGCGTCTCCCGCAGCGGACGCGTGGCATGGCGTAAGACCTTCTGCTTAGAAATAGATGTCCCCTGGTAAATGGAGGTCATAAAGCCAATGTAAACCCGTGGAACCCATCGATTTTTCACCGAACCAACCTTGGCTTCCACTTTGCTTCTGCGTCGTGTCGGCGTGCAGAGCTGGAGAGTGAGGGCTTGGTTGCAAAACTTGGTACCAAAGCTTGTTGAAACGGAAACCAAAAGGAGGCTGTTCAATCAACAAGTGTGGGGGTGTTTTTTGTTTCTTAAGGATAGCCTTGATGGGGCTGGTTTAGGGGTAAAAAGAAACAATGAGGATGCCCCTACGTAAAGATAAACCCAAGCGGTTTAAACATGCTTAAATGTGGGTACGTAGCCTTCTGGCGGTCTTTAAATTTGGGAACCATCGAAATGGATAGTTCTCGCCTACGCGAAAGCAACCCGGAAAATGCTCACACGCCAAGGAAAGACAGGCACTGCAAGCAGGCAACGAGGTTGTTGCCCTACAACATACCATGATTTATGGTCTAGTTGCAAGGAACACAACCCCTGTTGGTTTCTGGAACCCCAAAAAACACGTGGATGAAAAAAAGAAGAAGTGGGCTCCCATAATTGCAATGTGGGGGTGTTTTATTTCTGGGGCTCTTCTTTTCTTTTTGTTTCGCCTTGAAACGCAAAGAAAGCCAACGACTGAACCCAATTTTCACACAAACCCATATGAGTCATACTCAAACCCTGGCACTAAAACGGTCTGCGCAAAACCATGTAAAGAACTACCAAGGCAGCTGCAAATATGTATGGTTCAAATTCTCCCTTCCCAACCTTCATCTACCCGGGTTTTGCTTGTGGCTATCGATTTGGTGCCTCGCGATCGAAGTGCCGGCTGGGCTTGCCCGGCGGTGACCGGAACCGCTAGCTGATCCCCATCGAAGAGGCCTGCAGACGAGCCTCGGCGCGTTCGCGGCTCCGGCGGTTGGGAGCGAGGTTGGGAGGTGGGCGCGTCTCGCTTGGCTCCTGCAACTGGCGGCTTTGCGTTTGGCTTCCCCAGAAAAACAGAGAAAGGGGTGCGCTCGCACACAAGTAGGGGACTAACCCCAGTTACCCAGTTTGAGGGCGTCCCAAAGGGGCTTGGGTGATATTGCTTGCTTGGAGTTTGGTGGGCCCGTTGAACGGGTTCCAACAAATGGCTCCTGCAATCGGATGCCATATCCTGTGCAAGCGATCGGGGCCACTTCGTGTCTTGAACGGGTCATTGAGCTACCATACTGTATGTGACAAAAAGCAGAAACTTGCAGACTCCCATTGAAACACGGCAACACATGACACCACATCCGCCCCGCACATGACGCACTGGAAGGCTTCAAATGGAACACTCGGAATTCTTTGGGGAGCCGCTTGCAACCGTCCAAGGGCAAGTCCCTAGTTTCTTTGCTGCCGTGGGTCCGATGTAATCAAATTTATGGAGGAAGTGTGTTAACAGTCATCTGCTTGATTGTTGCTCTGATTTATCTGTTGTCAATCTTGTATGGCTTTCCTGATGCAGCACGTTGGGCGCTCTGCAGTCAAGTGAGCAGTGATGGATGTCGTGTTTTCGCCTCAACCAGACGACATCTCAGCGCTGCTTGAAGCTTCCCAGGCGAGCTTTGCTTGGGTGCCAGTGCCTGATGACGGAAAGCGCTTCTTTGAAGCGGTTGAGAGTTGGACCACAGGGGGGGGGGGGAGCCGGGGGGGGGGGTTGGCTGGTCGGCCTGATTTGCCGAATTTCGCGCCAAAAAAAGACGGCTAAAATTTGAGTGTCTTTTCCATCTGTCCGGGAATTCCTCGCTCGCTGCATTTGTGTGCAAAAACCTGCGTTTTACCATGCTTTTGCAAGGTGCTTTCTGCGTCGAGCGTGCTTTTTTTTTACCTTTTCTGGGCCAAAAAAAGACGGCTAAATCTCCGCTTCTCCTTGCTTGCTTACTGCTTGCGTGTTTCGCGCTTGGACCTGCCTCGGGGATGCTGGGGATGCTGGGGGTGCTGGCGGCTCAGCCAGTGGATGCTGGGGATGCTGATGCTTGGGCTTCATCTTTTGTTCGAGGAGCCTGTGTCGAGGTGCTCCTTTGCACTGGTTTGAGGAGCAATGGCTTCAAAAAGACTGCTAAATTTCAGGCGTCCTTTTTGGATGCTTTTGGCGCTCGGCGTTCACTGGCTATCGCTTTCGGTCTGCGGGCGCTCGCTTCTTCAGTAGGTAACTTTGGAGTCTGTCGCCTTTCAGTATTTTAGTCGTGCCATTCGTTACCTACAAACAAGAGGCTATTCAAAGCACTGGGCGAGGCAATTACCTTTTTGGAACACCCTGAAATGCCCTTACACACTGATTGCGTCCGCGCAAGCTCTGTTCGTCGCAGAGGAACCCCCAGTCATTGCTTATATACGCGGGCTATTTTCAGTCGGGCAGTTTTCAATTGGGCCTTCCTCTTGGGTTCCATGTCAATTTGTGGGGGAGTTAGCTTGTGGGCATTTGGAGAAAGGCTGCGTTGCTCAACAACTAGCTGTTCCATTCTAACCGACTGGAGTCGGGACGAGAAAAAAGGGCCGGGCGGTCCGATGATGGTTCCTCGCACATGTCGACCCAAAAAGACGCCTATTTTTTAGCCGTTCTTTTTCCCCTCAATTCAGACTTGCGCCAATGGGGACTCGGCAGGACCGGGACAGAGGGAGTGCGCTTTCCGTTCTTTTCCGACCTAATTTACAGAGGTGTCACAAAAGCATGCGACTTTGGCACCACGCATGTCGAAAGTCACTCTTGCAACCTGAATGCCTGTCATAGTGACAAGATCCCTCCCTGTGCTTCACTTTGGTAGTAAGCGTGTGTGCAGTCTTGCTGGGGCGCTTGTCATTCGGCAGCCATGTCATCTGGCAGCCATGTGTGCAGTCTTGCGAGGGCGCTTTTGAGGGGGCGCGCGTATCATGTGGCTGTGGGTGAAAAGCATGCTCCAAGATGGCACCTTGGCACATGGAACCAAAGATCAAAACCCGCAGCCCGGTTCCTTCATTTTGAGCCACGCGCAGCTGGCCCCTACCGTGGCAACCGCGCATCGCCGGCATCGCCGGCATCGCCGAGGCCCCCTGCCCTCGTCAAAGGGCTGGTGGCAGTGCGTGCAAGTCGTGCCCTGCGAAGCTGAGGCGGCGGGAAAACGGGTGTGTTTTCGCGTGCCTTGACAAAAACAAACCACCCATTTTTTGTAGAGGTGTGTGTGTGCTTTGAAGGAAACTGGAAGGAAACCGCCCATGTGGTTTTGCATTTTGCTGGGCCCCCCATGTTTTGTGGAAGCTGAGGCAGGCCATTTCTGTGACTCCCACAAACTTCCAGGGCACGAAAACCACGACTGCTCACTTTAGAAGGGATGCCCCTAAAGAGTCGAGAGGCCCAAAGCCCATGGACCTGTGGTACAGGCTTGCTATAGCCTCAACGCAGCCAGGTAGAACCACCTGCTCATGCCGCAAAGGATCGAGCAAGCTTCGCTAAGGCGGTACTAAAAGATGGACCACTACGGGAAACTGAATGCGCTTGGATCGCACCTCCTTTTTGAGCGCATGAAGTATCCCAAGTGTCCAAACCAAAGAACAACCACCAAAGCAGTGAGACAAAGTACCAAGAGGCAAGAGTTGCTGCAAAGGACACCCTTTCAGGAATCCCTTCAGGGGAAATTTCCTGGGTATCCGGTATCCGCGAACTAAAGGCATCCAAGTTGACCACACGTTGACCTCAAGCTCAAAAAGGCAGGATCTGATGTCAAAAAGAATCTGATGTGGCTGTGTCTGCAACTAGTTGAGCCCTCAAGAAACCTGAAAAACAACACAAACACACAAGGGCTCCGTCGATCGGAAGCCGCTTCGGCTCTCCTGCAGCTTTTGGCAGAGCAGGCGATAGAGCTCTGCCAGCTCCTGGATTCGATGGTTGCGCTTTACGGCCTTTTTGGGGGGGTTCGGAACTTTAATTTCCTTTAACAAGAGGGGCAAAGGATACCATGTGCTTTTGATGTCCCTAAGAAACAAGGAGAAAAGGGGTCGATCAAAGGGTCTGATTAGATGGGTTGTGTGGGTACCCTTTTTGGGATTGGTTTGAAGGGAACCAGAGGGATTTCCAACATCCATGTTTGGGATCCCTTCAAGACATACCCATGTGAGCAGCGCCCAAACCCAAGTGACAAATGGTCGTGCTGGTTTGTACAGCCCTTACAATTGCCCCATCAAACCCAAAGAAGTAGAACGAAAGTGGTTGGGTTCCATATGAGCACGCTGGGAATATGCCTGGGCTTGTTGTTGTCCATGTCCCTCCCAAACGGACTTAAAAAAGACTTGCGATGCTTCGACCGAACCTGAAGTGGAATTCTCAACTTCACGTGAAACGAGATTCCCCAAAAATATGACAGGTGACCCGCAACGCTCAGCATGGGCATTCTCATAAGATATGCTTCTTTCGGAAGCCACCAAACAAAGAGTTGGGTGTTTCGGACCCCACCCGTTTCCCATGCTCAAGAGCTCAACAGCCATGTGCTCCCAACGAGAAATGGCATTGCGAATTTCCCCTCTCTTCCTGCCACAAAGCCATTGCCCATGTGCGGAACGGGCAATGTCAGCAAAGTATCGGATTCGAGCTTTGGCAGGTTCCCTATTGCTGGCTGGCGGTAACTTGGTCGGGTGTTCATGTGTACCATCTTCCACGGTTCCGAAACGCCTGGTCATGAAGGTCATGGCCATGTTCAGCTATCCTTGCATGGCCTCTAGTCACGCTTGTTAGGTTGCCAAGTAGTGCCCCTTGCGAGCTCTGAATCACCCTTGAAGAGTCACAACGAAAGTTCGGCAAAGTTTCGCTTGCTACATAAAGCTTTCATGCCCCATGTTCCCTTAAAACAGTCGTTTGAGGCAATGGTTTGCCATGGTTTGATGCGAAGGATAGTTCCCCAAAGGCCTTGACAAGGCTGCGGCTTAGGGTCTCATTTTGGTATGTGTCAACAGTTGGGGATCTTCAAACTGGCATTCGGTGTTCCTTTGGTGCTCCTTTAAGCCAAGGCGGAAAGGGCACCCTTCCCCTCAAAACTAGAAACGACACCCTCGGGAATCCAACTCAAGGCTCCTCGGCCTCATCCTTCTCGCAGCGCAAGGACAGCAAACTGGAGAGTGTCCTGGGAGTTGGAAACAAAGCAAAGCCCCGTCGTAGCTGAAACGACCGTTTCGTTTTCGGGGGCTTAAAGGGGACTCCAGTTGTGACTGCAGAAAGTCACGGGCGTTCCTTTGCTATCACAGCAAGTGGTTGCCTAAAACCCCCCATGTCCCACAACCATGCTAGTCACTCAACTAAACTTTAGGCCATAGTGGTGGACAGAATGCGCTTCGCACCTGTACGCAGGCATATTCATAGAGAGTAGGTCGGCGGGGCTTTTTGTAGTTGCATCGAGTGCAGATGGTAACTGCCATCTCGCCCATGATGTTTTGTATGTCTGGCTTGCGGTCTCTAATACTTGCAAGTGTGCATACCTGCAAATCTATTGCCGATACAGGGTTGCCATTATTTCAAGGTATGTTAGATCCAGATCTGCCTGTCAGGCTCTGCGCAGCTGTCTGTCACAAGCTCTGCCACAGCTGTCTGTCGCTGTCTGTCACAGCTGTCGGTCACAGCTGTCTGTCACAGGCTCTGTCGGCGGGCACAATGGTTGTGGGAGTCGGATGTCACTTGAAATCTCATCACCCCGAATTGTCGAGTGAGAAAAACCAACAAATCAAATTTGCAAACCCTATGTCCCTCGCCTAAGCCACCTAGAGTCTGACATTGTTTTTTCTGGAAAGCTCGAGGTTTTTTGGTTCTCGGCTGGAAGTGAGTTCGAAGGCCTTTCTCGGTGGATTTTGGGGCGGGGCTCAGGTCGCAAGAAACGGCGCCTGATCCAAAGGTCTGCTCAGACCTCGCAACTGGGTCCAATGAAGTGACATCCTGAAAAACTCCCCGGTGGTTCAAAGGCAGTTCTTCTGGACGCAACATCGTAGCCCCGAGTTTGTCCACCTTCCCCGAAGTCCGGAGGTCTTCATGAAACAGAGCGTCCACTCCGTACAGCTGCAGATTGGCCATCTCAAAATGGACCAAGCCTGGTGGAATCGCCCGCTTAAGCGGGCAAGCCTATGGGCTTGGAAGGAAATCATGTCACGGGAACCGCGTAGCACCAAGGGCCGATTTACCTGGCTACATGGGCGTGTCTTTTTTGAGGCGACGGGTTACTTAAAAGGGAACCCCAGAGAAAACCACCCATGTTTTTGCAGTTCCCCTATTTATCTTAAGACAAAAAGACACAAAAGGAATTTGTCACCAGGGCAAATCCGAGGTACGTGGTTGAGCCTTTATGGTCCTGACCATCGCCATATTTGGGGTGGGTACTCGAGGGTAATTTCCTGACTGCCATGGCAAAAAGGTCCACCCTTTGATACATGCTGCTTTGGGATGAGCGGAGGGAAATTCGAGCACCCTCGACACCCCGACGTCCAGTGAAAATTCAAGGACGTTCCTTGGGTTGGTCATGAAGGGCCACCTACAGATCACCTGGCATATGTAGAACCTTGGCCAAATCTGTAGAAAGCATTTGAAGCTCAGCTTTGGCTGTTTCTTTCGCTTGGCCAACTCTCTTTTCCGCGCATCCCCCTGGTTTTTGGTGCTTCTCACCCTGCTCGCAAAACGACCGCCGCTCAGAGACCGCCACGCGCGCTGGAAAAGGTCCTGGGGTCCGGCAGCTGGAACTGGCCATCGTAAGCGGCGGCCTCCGATGGCCTCCGCGTCTCTGCCCGGTGTGGATCAATCGGCCCTTTGGAAGTTGGAAACGACTTTTGCGACTTGTCCTTTTCATTTTCCCCTTTTTCCCTTCTTTCCTTTTTTCCTTTTTCCCTTTTTCCCTTTTTTCCCTTTTTTCCTTTTTGACATTTGGAAGTGATCGGCCCTTTTCCTGTGTTTTGTGCAACTTGAAGTGAGTCTTCCGAATTGGAGCGATTTAAAGGGGACATGTAGGGAGAGTTCTTTTGAGGTTTGACAGGGATCAAAACCATTTTGTTTTGCAGGCCGTCCCTTCCTTGATCGGGTCTTTTCAACAAACCCGCAAAGAAGAAGGCCCCCCCTTCAGTTTACGCAAAAAATACATGCATGTCCATGGGTGTGTCGATTCTGTTTTAGTAGGCAATCAAGAGGGAAACAACCAATTCGTGAGTCAGGGATGCCCCGCAACTCGCGGGTCCTAAACAACCATATCCGGTCAAACAAGTCTCACCAAATATGTTCGGGAAACCACCTCAAATCTTCGACCAAATCTTTGCCCGAAACTCGGGGCGGTAAAGAACCCATCCGCATTTGTTTTGCGGCGATCTCAAAGGGGTGCGACTTTTGTGCCGTGCTGTTGCGTGCTCTGGGTTGAGTTGTTACAGGTCAAAAGCCTAGGCTTTCCTGCACCTTCCAACTGATTTGACAACCGCAAGCGTACCAAGCCTCAAAAAGCGAGAAACCATGGTGCCACAAACATGGAGGACATTGGTAAATCAGTCATCTGGATTTTCTGACCAAACCCGTGGGACGAAAGTGAGCGAGCCAAAGAGAATCTTGAAACTGACAGCGCGACCTCAACTGCTTGGAAACATGTTCAGCGAACCTCATGTGTTGTTTGCGGGAAAGCCAGTTTGAGGCAGTCTGGGGTACACAGAAAACACATCTGTGCGACGATGTTGCTTTATACTTAGATTGTCATAAAACATCACATACTTCTGGAGGAGACCCCAAGTACGCCCTCTTCCGATGAATTGCCGGAATATCATAGCTCTTCCGACGCCACATTTGCTGTGCGCCTGCCCGTCTCCAACATCATCGCAACCTGGCGGTAGGCCGGTGCCCAATGCCCGCAAGGTGGTCCCGTTGCCGCATGTTGGACAGATTTGCAAAACGCACCAATTGGGATGGATGAAACTTGATTCGAATGCTCGGATCAACTGGTGCACCTCCAAAAAGATTGCAAAACTTTTCGGGAAAGAAGGTGACGCGCCGAAGAGCGGACAAAAACATATCTAGGAGTCGCAGTCGGGAATGAGGAAGTTAGAAAAATCTCACATGCCAAACCTTAAAGGAGAGATCGAGGTTCAAGCTCCTCATTCCATTGCTCTAGCCTTCTACCTTCTACCCACTACAAGGATTGCAACATGGAATCCCAAGAAATCGAGGCCAATGTTCATGTTTAAAAGGGATGGGGATCTCAACAAAACGGGTGTCCTTCTTGGAGGGTACTTCTTTTGGGGTGGTTTTGTTTTGAAGGGAAATGCTGCTTCCTGAGTGGATATGCCAAAGCAAAATCCAACTTTGGTGTTTGTCCCCAAGATAGTCTTCCAAAAGGTACAAATCAGAAATTGAACCTAGGACTAGGGGGCGTGATATCAAAAACAACCCGGTGGTTGTGAATCACAACGGGGATCCCAGCAAAGAATTCAAGTCTAGGCGCACCCATCTGAATCTAGGCTCATGATTGGCACATGGATGAACGAAAATAGGGTGGCGTGTTCTGTTTCGTGTTTTTGACTTTTTGCTTGTCGCGTTCTTTCCGTGGTCCCCTTCCTGCCGACAAACGCTTCAACGTGGGCCACTTCAAAATCCCCCACAGCTGATCAGCGAGGCAACCTCGTCGCCGAAGCCGCGGCTCACAGGCTGACTAGTAGCAGAAACACGAAGTATCGACAACGCCAGCTCGGGACTGATTTCCACCTCATATTTAAAAACCCATCCCCCATACATCTGGGATGTGGATTTTTGCAATATGCGTCAACCATCCCCCATACGTCTGGGATGTGGATTTTTGCAATATGCGTCAACATTGATGAGGTCGGCCACCCCGCACCCTTCCCGCCCATTCCGGGTCCCCACCCGCACGGCGGACACCCGGTAGTTGGCCGTGGCGCGGGCAAACACGGCCAGGTCCGGGATCCTCGGCGCGCATGTAAGGGACGCCGGCAGAAGATGCGCGGCCTTCGGCGAGATTTGCTATTTCGAGAGGAACCAAACCCTCCACTTCATACTTCGTAGGCCTTCTTCTGAGCCGGGTCCTTCAGAAGAATCCGGGTGGCGGAGCGTGGTTCGAATCCTACGCTTGCACTGGGATGGTGTGATTTAGAAGCTGGACCTGCACTGAGCACAGTTCAAGCCCTACTTTTGTGAGTAAAAACTGGCTGCGATCGAACTGCAGCTGCGAAACCCTCAGCACGCTGCGCCCTTTTTTCATGCAAGGAGGAGAGCAGACCCAGCACTTGGGTTTGCTACAACAACGGATCTCACAAACCAAGCCAGTTCATGGGTGAGCTCATGACACACGCCAGCATGTGGGCTGCTCTGTCAACCAAACCCCAACGCAAGTCAAGAAGTGCGAGCTAGTAAAAAGGCGGCAGGGCATGCTGAGGGTTTGCATTGCGCGCGCGCTTGGAAGAAAAAAGCGCTGCTGGGTTGTCAAAGGGCTCTTGACATAGGATCATTAGAAAACTTTCTGAAGAACG